ATAATATGAAAAATAAGACGAAATGAGTTTATAAAATAAGATTGAACAAATCTAACTCTAGCACAACATAACAATTAATATATCTCTACCTACTATTGTAATACATAGTATGGTTTAGGAAATCTCCGTGACAAAAAAAAAAAAATAAGAACTCAATTTCGGCATATCCATTGAACTTAAAAGAAGGCCCTAAAAAATAGGAGAAAATAAGAAAACATGCCACTTGGGTTTCAAAGTACCATCAGAGAGTTTTCACATGCAAGTGCGATGTTTCCGTTTCGTACCCTTCTTTTTTTAACCTCTTCCCATAAATCATAAAACAGTGTCACCATGCAACTTTTAAATTGTAGTAAGTTTAGATGACAAAAAAAAAATGTAGTAAGTAAACTATTTGTTCTCTAACTTTTTCTTCTAGAGTGATTAAATAATATATACGGTATTGAGAGATGGAGTTATATACATATATAATACATGCAATCATTCATATAACGTTTGTCAATATATATTCAAAAATTAAAGTGAGAAAAAAACTAGTTCATAATCTCAATTCAAAACAGCAAAAGAGAACATGATTTATTTGGAAAACCGTATTAAATGTTGATAACGAAAAAGTATTAAATTGTGTCTTATATTAATTGGTCAATTTATGGCATAGATTTATCTTATTCGAGTTGCAAGAATTAATTTTTTAATAGCCATTAGCACGAAAATAATGTTCTTATATGGTCATAATCACGTTGACCTTTGAGAAAAAAAGGTTCGCCGGCACCATATTGTATATATTAATACTCATATACTAAGCTAACTCGAATTTTATAAAGCTCTCATTTTCTCGTTCTTTTAACAAAAAGAAACAATAATTGGTTATTTGGTTTTATAATAGCCCTACCTTGACCTTCCATTACTTTGCCAAGGTCTGTATAACGCAGAAGAAAATGGATGAAAAATAAAATAAAATTAGCTAGGTTTCAAATTGCCTATGAGAAGGGGTCCCCCAAACTTTTTTTTTTTTTTTGTCATCCGAAATTAATTAGTGCTCAAAAGAGCCATTCCTGGGGAATGTTGTTTACATAAGTGATATGAAGCGGGTCTGTACGAACTTTTCGTGCCAGATTATCCGCTTTTACATTGGCATTACGAGAAATTAAAGATAAAAAGAAAGTAGAAAATTCTTCCTTGTCGCTTTGGAATTCCTCCAAATACACTAAAAACGCCGGCCATTCGGTTGGAGAAGACACCATCTTCACCAGATCAGAACAGTCTGTAAGGAAAGCTACGTCTTGATTATCTGCACCAATCATACACTTCATCGCCCAGAGAAGAGCCTCGAATTCTGTATGTAATGGAGATAGACTTCGACGGAGGTTGGCAGCTCCCATGGTTGGCGGCTCTCCGTCTGATGATGTACAGAACCATCCTGTACCGGAGAACTTGTCACTTTCTTTCCATGATCCGTCCACAAAACAACGGTATCCTGAATAATTCGAATCAAGTGAAGCAATCCCCACTCGAGAACGAGTTACCAAATCCACAGAACCATTATTTTCTTGATGAAGCTCGATTTGGGCTGACTGCCACAATTGTGCTTCTTTTTCCACAGATCCTTTACGGGTCCCCCAAACTTGTAGAAGCAAATTGCCACTTTAAACAACTTGTTGGCCCTGTCGAAAATCCAAAAGCTGCTTATTTAATATTTAAAGCAAATATTTAGATACAAGGATTGACAATATAATTTATTGGGAACTAAGAGTTATGAGTTTGTTCATCACTTTTCTAAGAAAAGGTTTGAACCACAAACTTATATGAAAAAAATTAGATTTTTGGTTTTAAACGCAAATATGATATTGTTGATCCTAATATTTTTCAACATATAGTTTATAATGTGATCCGGCTGATAATACTCTACCGGTATATTGAATTTAGATTAAGACGTAGTTTTGATTGCATTTAAACATGATACAGCCTAAATAAATATTTTGAAATACTAATGAAATATAGATACAAAAATTTATTACTGGTAAAAAATAATTATGTAATTTACTGAAATATGTAAATTGAATATTTTTATAGTATTACATAGTTGTTGGAAAGAAAAGATGGTTTTTCTTTCTCTTAAAAACATTTAGTAAAAAAAAACCCCGGAAAGAATATTTAATATATAATTTTTAATTGGTCGTTAACCTTTTAGCTTTCATTAATCCAAACGTTTCAACATTCTTTTTAACAACTCTTTAATTTCGCTGAGTTGAAACAGTGAAACATTGAATTTGTGCGTGTTATATTGACAATAGCTAGGGAACATCACGGTCGAGAATTGGTGATGACCAAAAAAAAGAAGAGAATTCGTCAGCTTTGATTCTACTATTAAATACTCTTTCTGTTTCATAAAAAGTTTCATTAGATACATTTCACACATATTAAGAAATGAGTTAAATATATAAATATACCTTTATTTAATATATCCCTAATAATTTAAATACAAAGGCTTTTAATTTTAGATAAGAAGCAAATTTAGAAATTCGTTACAAAAGTTGCATTGAAAATGTAAAACGATATTTAAAAAAAAATACAAAATAATTCCAGAACGACACTCTTTATGAAATAGAAGAAATATTAACAATGCAAATTATGTTTTGCATATTTACATTTAACTCTTGTCTGCAATGATAAAATATACATATAGGTTTGTGCTTAATTAATGTTCTTTTTTTTTTTTTTTTTGATCAAAGTGCTTAATGTTCTAACTTTAACCATTTATCCCAAGCTTTCCTAGAATTCTGAATAACTCGCATAAATAAAACCACAACATAAAGTTTTTTTTGACATTTCTTGGTAGGTTGCGTGATGGCAAAAACCTAATGAGTATAAAATTCGCTTAGCAACTATATCATCCATAATACTTTTCACCTTAATTTTATATTTTAAATCTCGACTACTTTAGTTTTATTTTTCTTAATGGTTCCCTTTTTAATTTAACATAGTTTGGTCACCACGTGTCCTACTTGTGCCTTGCCTAACTCGACTCTTCTCCACCATATATAATAAGGAGTTGCTAACACAAATACGGAGTTATAAAGAAGTTCCAGCTTTATTAGTTGTATTTGTATATAACGTAATCTTCTTCATGTATGTTGAGTTAATATTGGTTGGTTAAGATATGTAGACAACTATATCATTATGCGATCAACAATTAAAGCATGTAAATTTTTGGCCTATCACCCAAAATTTAGAACAAACCACACCTGGCGATAAATTTTTGTTCCATATATAAACCCAAGTTCGAACGTAAATGGTTTGGACTCTGAAGTTGAAAGTTATTATTTCTTGGGAAATTGTTAAAAATGCCCTTTTTGGTGTGTCCCTTTTCAAAAATGCCCCTTTTAGATGTCCATTTTCAAAAATGCTCCTTTTTAAATCTGAAATTTTTATAAAGTTTTATTAGGTTTATAAGATACTTATGGATTGTAACTACTACTTGAAGACTCGATCCAAGTATTTATAAGGTTTTATAAGGTGTTTTTAAAGGTTTTACAAGTTATTTTAAAGGATTTTTTAAGGTTTTTCAAAGGTTTTACAAGATATTTTAAAAGTTTTTAAAGGTATTTAAAATGCATTTATAAGGTATTTATAAAGTATTTATAAGATTTTAGATACATAGAAATGTAGTTTGTGTATGTTTTAATAATGTTACATACATATTTGGGTAAATCTTATATCTTTAAGAGCATTTTTTATAAGGTTTTAAAGAAGAGGCATTTTTGAAAAGTGGCATTGAAAAGGGGGCATTTTTGCAAAAGTCCCTTATTTCTTTACACGAAAGAAAAATATTTAATAACAATAATGGCTAAATGATATGATTACTAGAGAAATATAAGAATATATCTACAGTAGAACCTCTATAAATTAATACTCGATAAATTAATAAACACGATAAATTAATAAATTTGGCCGGTCCCGAGTCGGGCCAATGTAAAAATTAACCAAATTCGATAAGATAATAAGATAATAATTTTTTTGAAATCCCTATATAAAAATATAGTCCCAATAATATCATAAATTAATAATCATGTAATTTTCACACATATATATACTCCAAAAAATAGTTTTAGTGTTTTCCATAGAAATAGCCAAAAAATTTTGTAAGTTTTCATATTTTGAATATGCATAATTTTTTTTTAATAGTCGTATATGTTTTTAAAATACAACAATGGATGTCTTTGTGAATTTATGTATATCGTTTGTATATGTGAATTTTATAATCGTTGTTATTCATTGTCAATATAAATTATTTTTTTCGAAATATTAAGTGTTTAAGGCTAAAACTATAAAATTTATAACATCCAAAACATTAATCTTAGTTAGATCACATTGTTTTAGCTCGTATTTTTTAAAAAAAGTTTTTACAATTGAAACAAAACTTTCTATAAATTAATAAATATTAATTTACGCTATAAATTAATAATTATTAATTTATAAATAAATTAATATCACTATAAATTAATAAAATATCATGGTCCCAACATTATTAATTTATAGAGGTTTTACTGTATATATAATTGTACTTTTTGTAAGGGGAATAGATAGATCATAGATTATATGGGCCTGAATGTGAATCTAGTTTCGTGTAGTGCGTTTTGCACTTATATATATTTTTTACAATAATTCTAACAACTTAATGTGTGGTTATTTGGATGATTAAGGCATTGAAACTATTATCTGTACTGCCTTTGGAATCATGCATGCATAAAAGTGAAGAATCGCTTCACATTGTGATTACGTTTTATTTTTGGTGTATTTAGGATGTGGTTTATTTTATTTTATTTATTTTAAAATCCAAAACTTTTTGAAAACATTTCTACAAATTAATTATATCTAATTATATATTGATTCGGTCATTCCATATATTTATAAAATTAGTTAAAATTTATTATTATATTGCACATTTGCACTACATTCTTTTAGTTTTTTTTTTTTTTTTTAACAATTTTTTAGTTACCCACTCAAACATTGGTCATATGAAAGTTCTAGTTCAGTTCTTAGTCATATGGAAAATTCCCAACGAGTTGACTCAACACAACCGATTCCGTAACTGAGTTCTTCTTCTTGATCATCATCGTTGCACTTGCTCTTGCTCTCACAATCTGAGTATGCATGGAGCTCGATAATCTCCTGATTCCTTTAGCTCCACCGATCAAAATCGCCGGATTAACCTCGGAGGCTTTCTTGTATTTTGAGTAGAAGAAGAGGACTACGTCGGGGCTCCGGTTACGAATCCGGGTTAACGGGTCACCGATGAACAATGAGGTTTTAGCGTCGACAAGCATAACGTGTTTGAAACTGCGACTTACTCTACCAAGCAGCATTGGGTAACAAGCCCATCTCCTCAAGCTTATCGGAACTTGATCCATAAACCCGGATAGCGAGTTTTCAGTATCCAACTCAGTCACGTCGAAACCCACTATCGAGACATGAGTCAACTCGGACGAGTTATAATTAGCTCCATGACTCTTCTTCTTCCCCCAAATAGGCTCAGTCTCAGAAGTCTATTTGATTGGACGAATTCGAATGCTTCCGATGAACCTGAACGAGTTTTAAGAAGGAGTTGTTCTCTTCTTGGATCAATGCGGTGAATCTCGAAGCAGAGGAAGTTAATTTTTTTCCTTCTAATTCCAAAATGAGAAATTAAAAGAGAAGAGAGATATAATTAATTAGCAAGTTTGAACGGTATAGCTTTGGATTTGATTACGGTAATTAAGTTCTGGTTCTCTTTCTAAATTTACCAAATTGTAAGTATTTTTTGTACAACATATAATTAGTGAACATGTTACTTGTGTTAACCCAAAAAAGAAAGACGTTATAAATGAAAAAAATTACTTTTAACAGTGCCACACACGCTTCTAGACGACGGAGTTGATAGAAAAGCTTACCACCGCCACACGAAATCCACACATTTCATTCGATATCTCTTGTTTAATTTCTTTCTTTTGCAATTTGTTTTCCACGTGTCCAACCATTTGTTTTCTTTAATTTTCAGTGCTACATCAAAAAACTTATTACAGAGTAGCTAGCTATATGTTCTATGTGGAACACCACATTCTCATTAACGAAACTCTACTTATAAAACTACTTAAGACTTTTCTGAACCATAATATCCGGATTTAATTTTCTATATATTTGCTAAGATAATTTTTTTGTTTGTCTATTTATATACTACTTTTTAAACAGAGAAAATGTGTTTCAATTTTGTGGAAATGAATCGAAACTAGAATTTATGTACTTGTACCTTTAGTTAAGCATTTAATCAAAAAGTCAGGGTGGCCGAGTGGTCTAAGGCGCCAGACTCAAGTTCTGGTCCTCGTAAGAGGGCGTGGGTTCAAATCCCACTTCTGACATTTTGTTCTATTTTTTTATTTTCCCTTATTCATACATGATTTATTTAAATTCAGTCTTATTTTTTTCAAGGATGAAAGTTCATTACAAAAGTTTTCAAAATTTGAAAGGCAAAACTAAAAAATATAAATATCAAATTGTTCAAATATATATTTTGGAACACATTAATTTGAACAATGTGATTAAAAAAAACAATAAATAAATCGTGAAGAGATAAGATGGCTCATTCAACCAATTTTTTTTTTTTTTTGTTATCCACACATTCATGTAGTAATCAAATATGGTGTAAGTGTAACTAAATAAAACTAAAGATTTTCACTTTCTTTCCACAAAATCATATGATTAGTAACAAACTTTTAAAATCGCATTGAAAAACTCAAATCACAATGAACAAGATTATTCAATGTGACGTCGTCAAAGTTAGTTCCAAGTTCTTAAAAACAAGCCAAAATCCAACTCGAATTCTCGAAATGTATGTGTTTCTAGCAAAACTCCACTTCTTAAAACTCATACTAGTTAGAAGACAAATCAGTGAAAACCAAATAACTTTTTTTTTTAATAAATAAAGCGTCATGAATGTATATGAAAAATCTTATAATAATCACAAACTAAGTATAGAGGTTGGATTCCTAATTAAACAGCAGTATCAGCTTTTTGCTTCCTAGGCAAGCGATATCCACCAAAAACACAAGCATGCTTTTCCTCACAAGAGTCAATATGCAATATCTCTGTTGGTCTCAACTCTTCCATTTGCAGCTTCTCCACTTCCATCTGATACACTGTTTCTGCTGCAATTGTTGAGTCTATAGAATTTGCCTGAAACAAGTATGTTAGAGTTAACCAAACAATCCACACTAAAAAAGAGAATGCTTTTGATTTGAATCAATGGTCAAAACTTTTGTTACAAACCTTTATAGAGATCATAAAGTGACCTCCAGATTTGAGGAAATAAGAAGCATTGAGACCCAATATCTTAGATTGATCTGGTTGATTAACATCAGAGAATATGACATCAACCATTCCCACAAGCATTCTGTACTTGGCAGGATGTCTAGCATCTTCAATGATTGGTATAACATTAGTTCTCTTCTCCGCCATGTTCATCAAAACTTTACCACATATATGAGAATGCTCAACAGCGTAAACACATCCCTCCTATCAATCAGAAAAGCAGATATAAGTAACAAAAACTCAATCTAAAAGGTTAGGGTTTAGGTTACACTTACAGGACCAACAATGTCAGAGATATGAGATACAGTGTATCCGGAAGAAGCACCAAGGTAAAGAACGTTAACACCAGGTTTCTACAATTTCAAGAAACAAGTATTCATTAGTTTAAATAACATAAGAAAAAAAGAAGAAGAGATTGTTAATTGATGTTATGGGACTTACGATCCAAATGTTATCAACACCAGTGGTAATAGCATCAGCTAACTTAGACCTATGAGGGTTCCAAACTCTGTATTCAACTGTAGATCGGTCTTCGTTCTGAACAAAGATTCTCTTCTCATTGTAAATGATTTCACCAGGAACTAAGTTCTTGGTGACAAGAGCATCTGCTTTACTTTTGGCAACAAACACTCCTGCGTGCCTGTGTGGTGTCACTAACACTTTGCTTCCTCCCTTAATTCCTCCGGATTCACTTTCACGGCTTTTTACTCTTCCAGGGCCACTTTCTCGGCCTCTGCCACGGCCTCTTATGGCACCTCCTTCACCGCCTCTGGCTAAACCTCTTCCACTACCACCACCACCACGTCCTGATGGCATAATTATATACATAAAACCGAAATCAGAACTCAGAAGAGAGTATTATTAAATCTCCCATTAGACTTGGATTGAAGCAGTGAAGACTCAAAACAGTTTACGTAACAAGAAATTCAGCTAGAGATATTGTGATAACTGATAAAACTAATTTGGAGTTAACAAACAAAACGCTATACTTTAGGTCGAATTAAACAGAGAACAAGTAAAAAAATAAAAGGCTTTAGTGTTCTTACCTATGTGGGGAGGTCTCATAATTGCTATAGAGCGAGAGCGAAAGCAACAAAGGGAAGATTGATGTCGTTCGATGTTGCAGCTTTCGTGTTTGGGTGCTCTTAGGGTTTAAGACTGTTTATCTATTGGAATTGGAGTTGGAGGTTGTATAGTAAAGGTTCTATTTATTTTTCGGATAAATTTGGAAATTTTCTATTTATCAATATAATATTACATATAGCAATTTTTGTTACACATTTTTTTACATTTTGTAGGAAAGATTATGATTTTATCGAATAGAATAGCCTTTGAAATATGCAAATGGGCTTTTGCTACATTTATGGATTGTGTAGTCACAATATTGTGAGCCGAGGCCCAATAATTAATTCTCGAATCGGGCTTATTAGACATGAATTATTTTCTTAGTTTTTTCCTCTCCTTTTCGCCGTTTTGCTTCCGGCGATGAATAACGGAGGAGAATATAGTAAGTGGGCGGAGCTTCCGCCGGATGTAATCGATTCTGCACCGTCTTAGCGTGATTGAGTTACTCAACATCGGTCAGAAAGTGTGTAGATCGTGGCGACGTGTCTGCCAAGATACATCGATGTGGCATAAAATCGACTTGCGAATCCCGAAAAACTTCAAAGCCTTGCACTACGATTTCGAGGCCATGTACCGTTACGCCGTCGATCTCAGCCGTGGCGGCTTGCTGGAGATCAACTTTGTCGACATAGGAAGCTATTCTCTCCTCACTTACATCGCCAACAGGTTTCTAGGGTTTGATGCAATTTCTAGGTTTTTTTCATTAGTAGTTTCAGTGATATGAAATGCTCTACATGGTTTAGGATTCTAAGTTTGTTAAAGTACAAGGAAAGATTCTTTGAATGAATTGTTCTAATAAGATCATATTATTACTTATCACTCTATATTGCAGGTCAAGTAATCTGAGACGCCTTAGGGTTTCCGACTTCCTTGGAATAACAAGGATTGGAATTTTCGAAGAAGTGGAAAAATTCCCATTGCTTGAAGAAGTTGAGTTTTCATTTTGGTGTATCAGAGAAGTGCTAATAAAAGGTATAGGTCAGCCTTGTCCTAATCTGAAAACGTTGAAGCTAAACGGCAAGTTTTACATGAAGTCTGCTGATAAAGTTGCTCTAACAATCGCTGAGACAATGCCCGGTCTTTGCCACCTCCAGCTTTTTGGGAGCGGATTATTATACACCGGTTTAAAAGCCATTTTTGACAATTGTCCCAACTTGGAACATCTTGATTTACGCCATTGTTTCGATTTTGACCTTGTTGAGGATCTGGAGAATCAGTTTTCCGAGGGTATCAAAGTTGTGAGACGGGCTAATTTCTTTTGATATGAACCTAACTAGTGGATATACGTTTTTGTTTCAGTACTTAAAGCATCTACATTTTGGTTAGGTTTAGAGACTCTCTTGAGTCTTTTGGCAATTAAATAATAATAATTTTAATAGTACTTAGTTGTTTAATAAAAAAAATATTTATTGTGAAAGTTTAACCCAATAATAAAAGGACATGTTTTGGTGATGGATTAGCTAGCTATGCATTTTCTAGGAAGTGAAATGGTTAAAAATTTAATAAGAAAAAATTGTCAAAATCGGAGTTGCAACGAATCCGAATGGTTATACAAAAAAAAAAGCACTTAAAAGCTACAAATGAAAAATGAATGTTTGTTAGTTTTTAAATTGGTTTTTGGTTTTTGAGTGTTTGGTTTTTAACTTTTAGTGTAAATTTTAGTTTTTTTAACAAAACTTGAATGGTAATTGGTATGGATTTTCTTTATCAAAAAAAAATCTGGTATAGATATTAGTTTTTAATTTTTTTAACTTTTTTTTTTAAAAGTAAAAGTCTTGAAAGTCCAAACCAATCATATTTTTATCTATTACAAAACAAGAAAAGGAAAAAAAAAAGGGTTTTTAATTTGTTTTCTTCAATGATTGGTAAAAAAAATTAAAAATTTATATTTCTTAACTTTTGGGGAATCTATTTATGCACACTAAAAACCACTTTAGAATCTACTACCATTCAAGGACTTACTTTTTTTAGGAAAATCAAAAACCAAAAGCTACAAAGAATCTACAGACAATCAAAGGCCTAAACCTACTTGACTTTCTTATATATTTTGACAGATTTGACATTTTGATCCTCAAAAATGGATTCGCCGTCTTCTACTTCCGTGCCACCGCTAATGAAAGACGAAGAGCCAAGAAACTGGGTGGATCTTCCGACGGATTTGACGTTTAATTCTGCAACGTCTTAGCGTGACTGAGATACTGGACAACGCTCAGAAAGTGTGCAGATCGTGGCGACATGTTTGTAAAGACCCATCAATGTGGCGTAAAATCGACATGGGAAACGTGAGTCACTTCAAGCCAATGGTGAACGATGTTGAGGCCATATGTCGTCATGCCGTTGACCGTAGCCAGGGTGGCTTGCTTGAGATCAACATTGGGGACTTCGGGAGTGATTCTCTCCTTACCTACATCGCCGAGAGGTTCTTCTCTTATTCTAGTTTTGATTGCTTTTCATGCAAGTCTCCGAGTGTTTTTTAGAGTATTGACGTTGGTTTAAGTGATAAGATATGTGTTTGGTCAGATTGTTAAAAAAGGATCCTTTTCTTCTTTAACCTAAGATTATTATGTTTTTACTTGTAGGTCAAGTAATCTTAAAAGCCTTGGACTCGCAATGTGCTCTGAAATAACAGAGGAGGGATTTGTTCAAGCAGTTGTGAAACTTCCAATGCTTGAAGAGCTTGAGGTATCAGGAATGTTATTGTCAGGAGAGTCTTTGAAACTTGCAGGGCTGTCTTGTCCAAATCTGAAGTCATTGAAACTAAACCGCCTCTTTTACTTAAATTCTAGTGATGATGTTAATGCCATAGCAATTGCAGAAAGCATGCCTAAACTACGCCATCTCCAGCTTTGTGGGGAAACACTAACCAAAACAGGCTTAAACGCCATTCTTGACAGTTGTCCTCACATGGAACACCTCGATTTGCGCCAATGTTTCAACCTTAAGCTTGCCGGGAATCTAGCGAAGCGTTTCAAAGATTTGAGACTCTCCAATGATTCAACCTCTGATGACCCGTTTGGTTATGCAACTATCATTTTTCATTTGCCACACCAATTGACATTACTGAAAGAAGGCGACAACTAGGACTCTGATGAGCTAACAACTGAAGGCGGCGACCACTATGACTTTGATGAGCTGATTACGGAGGACGGCGATTATAACTTTGATTCAATATTGGAAGAAGCCGACTATGACTTGTAATTGTATTGAGACTTATGTCAATAATTCTTAGTCAGATTGTTTGCCTGTTTGGACTAGGTACTCGAGATAGTTTGTGTTTTAATAACCTAATGGAAATGAATTCCTTTCAGAGCTAAGTGATACTTTTATTCCGCCGACTTCCTGAGCATAGTCTTGTTCAAAATAAACTACTTAAACAATCAATTCAGCTAAGAGACATTGTGCTAAAACGAATTTAGGTTAAATTACAATCCTATTTTTAGATAGAATAGAGCTACTCTGGATGCAAAAACAAGTAGAATTAAAATGGCTTTTAGAGTTCTTAACTTGAAGCAAATACAAGCATAGAAAAGATTGATTGAGATACAAAATTGGACGAAAATGTTGCATAATATTAGTGCTTTATCAAGAGATGAAATATCCAAACGAGACATAAAAGCATTATCCATCTCTAACTTAATACAATAAGTAACGAGATTTTAAAAGAAAAGAAGCAAATACGTCATATTACACAGGCACTGTCCACAGTTCCTCTATGTGGCTGGAGCCTTTTGTTTCTTGGGCATGCGGTAACCACCAACAACACATGCATGGTCACGCTCAAACGGCTCTAGAGTCACCTGTTCTGCTGGCTTAAACTGCTCCTGTTGCAGCTTCTTCACCTCACTCTGGAACACTGCTTCTGCTGCAACCGTTGAGTCGATACAGTTGGCCTGAACAGAGGAAACATGTTTATTTAGCGACGGAAATACAAAATGATTCATAAATGAAGAGACATTCTTGAATTTGATTTGGTGTTGCGAGGAGAATTAGATTGAGGATAAGAGCACTGACCTTGATTGAGATGACAAAGTGTCCACCAGTTTTGAGGAAAAATGAGGCATTCAGGCCCAAGATTCTTGCCTTCAAGAGTTAGGTAAATACATGGGTTTCAATTAAAAAACATAAACAGAGAACCAAAAGATGAGTAATAAACGTTTCATTGCAGACTTCTTGGAACAATCTCTGCAAGCTCACTCAATACTGCTACTGAGTCTCTTAACTTTCAATCATAATAAAGTAAAACTTCAAAAAATCAATTGAAAACCAGAAGAAAAATGGATTTCGTAGAGAGTAAAAACCGAAAAGACTTCTTTCAAAACGAAAACATATAAAAAATGAAGAGAAATATAAAACTTTGAGATTAAAACAGATTTGCATGTTAAGAGCAACCAAATTTGGTGGCATGGCAGAACACAAACCGAAAAAAAAAAAAAGTAAAAATATTTAAAATAGCATCAGAAGCTTGGAGTTTGCAACACCCATAATGTTCTGAAGGGGAATCCAAGTAAAATCATCATCTGCCGATTTCAATGTATAGATTTTTTTTAAAGCAAAAGATGCAATGCAATTAAAAAAACTTTGAAGATATAACTGTAAGAAAAAGCGACTTCAAACATTCATAGTAAGAAATGCCATCATCTGCCAATTTTAATGCACTGATAAAGTGACTTCAAACTTTCATTGTAAGAAATAAAGAACCAAACCTGATCTGGCTGAGCAACATCAGAGAATATGACATCAACCATGCCCACAAGCATTCTGTACTTAGCAGGATGTCTAGCATCTTCAATGATTGGAATAACATTAGTTCTCTTCTTTGCCATGTTCACCAAATCTCTACCACTTCTATGAGAAAACTCAACAGCATAAACACATCCCTCCTACAAATCATAAAGCAATAGAGCAAAGATAAGTCTCAAACAAAAGACAGAAAAGGATCTACTAACAAAATTAGATCATAATTTAGTGAAAAGACTTCACTTACAGGGCCAACAAGGTCAGAAACATGAGAGACAGTGGTTCCAGAAGCAGCACCCAAGTAAAGAACTTTAGCACCAGGTTTCTACAAAGTATTAGCAAACAACCAATTCAAGCACATGTCTTTCACAACAAACAAACAAAACAGAGTCAATGTGTGGTGTGTATAGATTAACTTACAATCCAAATGTTATCAACACCACCAAGAATTGCAGCAGCTAACTTGGATCTAAACGGATTCCAAACTCTGTATTCAATCTTAGTTCCATCTTCATTCTGCAAAATTCAAGTAGCTATACCATAAGAACAAAAAACAGTCAATTTTTTAAAAATCTAACTGAAAACAATCCTCAAACTTCATACCTGAACAGAGATCCTCTTCTCATTGTAAACAGCTTCACCAGGAACCAAATTCTTAGTGACAAGAGCATCCTCTTTACCCTTAGCAATAAACACTCCTGCGTGTCTGTGAGGCTCAACAAGCACTTTGCTTCCTCCTTTCATTCCTCCACGTGGTGGTCCTCCTCTTCCACGAGGCGCACCACGTCCTCTGCCGCGAGGAGGACCACGTCCTCTGTCGCCACGCCCTCCTCCAAAGCTTCTTCCACCTCCAAAACCTCTTCCACCACCATCTCTTCCTCCCCTGAATCCTCCACCACCGCGTCCTCCTGATTATAAACAATACCAATAAACGGAAATCAACTAAACGTAAGATTAATAAAAAAATCTCTACTTTAATCTTTGGACTTGATTGAGACAGTGGAGAAACAAAAGGGTCAAGAATAAAAACCCTAAAAACCAATTCAAACTACATAAACCGTGATGATACGAAATCAGATTTGATTCGGACAGGGTTATACTCTAGAGGCAGACAGAACAAGAAAGACATAAACTTTAACACCGGTTCTTACCTGTAAGTGGTGGTCTCATATTTGCGAGTTAAAAGTGAAGAACGGAAGACGAGAACCGAAAAAAACGAAGGCAAAGGAAAGAGATGTGTGGTGGTGGCGGATTTTTAGAGTCTCTGTGAGTTGGTTTATATATAAGATTTTAGGGCTTTTAGGGTTTATGCTATGGTAACATGTCTTGTATTTTACTATTTTATAAATAGGCCCTTCTATTATGCGTATCTTAACTACATTAGTCTACATTGGTAAAGATGGGTCAAAATCAGGGATTGGGTCCAGATATATACTGGGCCGATCTCATTGGCCCAAAGTGGGTTGGTTATTTACTTTGCCATCGTTTGTTTATGTCTCACGGAAAAAATTAGGGTTTTATTTTTGTGAGACAAGAAGATTTTTTTTTTTCTTTTTTTGATTAAACACAAGAGGAGTTTTTTTTCTTTTCTTTTTAAGATGATAAAGATTCACTTATTCTACTTACCAAAAAAAAAAAAAAAGATTCACTTATTCTCATAGTAATGAGAAATTACGAATATATCTAGGGTTCTCGATCATCTCAAAGTTTTTAGCACTACAGGAAATGAAGGTATTCATAGCGTCCGAAAACCGCTATATAAAGCTACTATAGCGTTATTAGAAACGCTGTATCTCCGCCCGTTATAATAGGTCTGATACTTTATATAGCGGTTGTTTCTTATGCTATGGTATATTTTTAATACATAGCGGTTTTGTAAACGCAATATTTAAGTTTACAATAGCGGTTGTTGTTTGCTATATATATAGTTAATTATTCTATTATGAATTACAATAGCAGTTAATATATGGTTATAGATAGCGTTTTCTTACGTATAGTTTTATATAGATAGCATTCGTATGAAAGTATTAAATACGTATAATTTTGTATAGATAGCAATTTTGTAGAAGTAAAATACGTAAATTTTTATACGTATATTTGTAGAAGTATAATATACGTATAATTTCCGATACGTATATACAAGATTTTAAAAGGTATATACAGTATTTTGTACATATAAAATTATACATTTTATACAAATGATGCATTGTACAAAAGAGTATTTTTATACGTACTTTTATACTCATTTTTTTACAAAAAAAAAATAAGAAAATACATAAAATTTGTTTATTTACAAAAAATAAAATAAGAAAATACATAAAATTTGTCTCTTTAGCCTCTACACCTTTCCACTTCCATTATAGTTTTCCTCCACTTCCATTGTAAACCGAAACATCGTAAATTCACAAAATGGTGAAACGACTTTGAGACTTTTTGTTTCCGGATCCATAGCAAAAACTCCATATCCCGACAATGCCAATCTTCTTGCAATTCCTGCAAAATCAAGCTAGTTAGCAATCAAACAAGCCTCATTTTAACATACAAACCATTTGCTATTTATGAAAAATAAACAAACATGCCTTCGAAGAAAAACGTGCAAGTATCTCCATAACCATGGCAGAAACAAACCAAAGCTCTAGGCCTAGAAGCTTCAGGAAGCCAGCTTTTGGAGAAGATCTCAACTCCTCTCGAATTCACCTCATAAGACTACATAAACCAGAGATCATCACAAACAAGACAGTTGCTTCAAGCTATAAACTAACTTTGATTAAGGAAAAATTGAATTAAAACCTAATCCTTGTCTTCTTTTACCTCCTTTGTCTTAATCCCAGTCTCTGGTGTCTGCAACATCACGAAAAACCAACACTTTTAATAAAAAAACCACACATCTCAAACAAAGCTGAAGCAGATTGGTCTAAATTCCAACCTTTCTAATACTCACTTCAATTGGAAAGGACAAACAAACAAAAAGACTTAACAATCTACCGATTCATTCAATTTCGGATGTTTAAAAATCAACAAATCTGGATTCCAAATAAGAATAAAGCTCAAACTAATCTGGATTCCAAATAAGAATCAAGCTCAAACTAATCTGGAGTTCAAATGAATGTTGTTCATTTGACTACTCAGGCTAATTAAAATCACCATTTTCATGTCTAAACAATAACAGTATTAATCAATTTAAGAATCGATAAAGCGAGATATGAGGAAAAAGGGAGAAGCATATAACTCTATCGAGAAGGTGATATCTGTTGATGTTTGTCTCAGGAAGAGAAGGTGAGAAAGCTAGGGTTTTTACTGTCAAACAAATAAACAAGTGTTAGATTCAGTTGAACAAAACTCTTATAATGGTATCAAAAGAAACACATAAACAATTTGTTAGATTCTTCGTCTTCTGCTTTGGTTCTCTCATATTCGAGTCGGACATGGCAATGAATTTGAGGTTTGAAGAAGTAGGATGAGAGAATTTTTTTCTGAATCAGCGAAGAGAAGACCTAATCTGAATCAATTTTGTTGTGAATTTTGTTCTCAGTCGAGGAAAGGAAGAAAGGGTTGAAGAGAATCTCTCCCCAGAGCGATGAACGGATGAGATTAAAGGAAGAAAGGGTTGGGCGATGAACGGATGAGATTACCTTAAACATGCAGCCGCCAAAACATTTGAAAGGCTGAGATGTCGCCACGTCATGTATCCGAGTGAAACATTATGATTGGATAGAATAAATTGATCAGGTATTAGATCAGATGAATGGCTGAGATCTCGCCACATCAGCAATCCGAGTGAAACATTATGATTGGCTTATTTTGTTTATAGGCATAAAAATGTGTTTTTACAATTTATATAATTTTAAAAAATTATATATTGATGAATTAATATGTTTATGAGTTATTTACATGATTAGATAATTTTTTCACAATTTAAAAAAAATATTTTGCAATGTTTTTAGAAATTTGAAGGTAACACATATGATTCCCTTATAATACATGTACACTAACCTTCTTATTGTGTAAATCATATTGTTGAAATACATTAATGATGTTATAATTAACAAAATGATTGAATTCATTTATGTTATAATAGTATACTTTATATCATTAATATTAGCTACTATTTAAAACCCTAAACCCTAAACCCTAAACCCTAAACCCTATACCCTAAACTATTTTAAAAAATGAATATTATTTATGTTATTATTTGTTATAATTAATATTATTACTATTTGAAACAAATATAATCCAAAAACCTAAACCATACATTTCATACCCTAAACCCTAAACCTTATACCCTAAATATTATAATTAAATATTTATGTCTTTTTGAGCTATTGGGTTATATTTGTTTTTATTTACTTTTATTTTTTAACTTTTTTTTATAAAATTCGAAAATCATTTAAAAAATCTTTAAAATCTTTAAAATCATTTCCAATTAAAATGTTTTAAATATGTGTTTTTGTTTTTAATATATGTTTGCCAAGAGATAACATATAATTAGTAACATGAGAAAACAAAGTCAAGTGCATGTAATAAAAGAAAACACAAAGTGTTTGACAGTTGAAACAACAAATTGTTGGACACTTAAAACAACAAATTGTTCGACACTTGAAACAACAAATTGTTCGACATAAAGGACAGAACACAAATTGTTCAGAGATAGACTATCTTGTCATTAGGCCAAGCAACGGTTGTGCCTTGTGCATCTGCTATGATTTGCACTTCTGAGGAAGACCTCCACACTTTAGCATTATCAATCAATGAAACAACAACCCAGACCTTCGTAGCATTTGGTCCTAAGGGTCTGTTATGGACTTTGTCTGCAGGATCAGTTGAACACACTCGGCCCTCTGCAACAGTTTTTCCAGGATTTTTGCAATCCAAGAGGAAGCACTTCTTGTTTTTCCCATTGTTGGAACCATTTGAACTTCCATTCTACCACATCAATAACACAATCATAACACAGTCATCAGAAATTCATCATTAAAATGAAAAACAAATCATAGCAACATCAATACTTACCCCAGGCGAGTTTCTCACTGAAGGCACCTCTGCATTCTGACTGATGCGTTTCATCTTAGTAAGTGGCCATTGAATTTCTCTATTCATTGCATTTGCCATCACATGTAAATCAAATGTTGGTCTCCACAGATAAGCCATATCCCTCAGAACAAGATCAATCTTCACAATGCAAGCATTTATACCAATAGGAATGTTGTTTATCATTTATTTCGGATCAGTGGAACACAAAACACTCTCAGCAATACATTCACTATCATCAGAATTCCAATCAAAAAGTTTGCATCTTTCAAGTGACTCAGTTGATATGGTATCCTAATAGTGATTCAAATATATTAGTAACTAAAATTTTGATTCCTAGTTATGTGTTAATCAAGAAGACATTTAACACTAACTAAGGCATAGTTAAGGGTTAAATGTAGGTTACTTGGGTTACTCGGGTTACAGATTACTTGGGTTACTCGGGTTACAGGTTACTTGGGTTACTCGGGTTACAGGTTACTTGGGTTACTCGGGTTACAAGGCTGAATGAGGGTGCTATTGGTCTTTGTGCACAACCCATCTCAGACCTAGATTATGTTCTCTATATAAACGTGTGTGCCTCCTCATTGTGTTTGACACATCTTTTTATCAATACATTTCTGCTTCTCTCCAATCTTAAATCATGGTTTCATCAATCTTTCCTACTTAAATATTAACAATAAGAAAGTAAATAAACTATGAAGATTACCTTGGAACCAGAAGTTATGTTTGTACTTGTTGAAATGTCTTCATCCAAGTTATGTTTGTACTTATTATTCACACGTGACCAGGTAATAGAGTCCACCGGATGTCGCATTACACCATCTTCACTACCATTGTTGGAATGCCAAGGCAAATCCTCAGCCTTTCTTTTTGATCTAAACATCCTCTTCAATCTGTCTTTGATAGGAAAATACCGAAGGACCTTTGCAGGAATGCCTTTCTTTTCCTCACCACTGTGTTTATCCATTTCCCATCTTGATGCAGTACATCTAGGGCAGCTTTCCATCTGAGCATACTGTTTCCGATACAGTATACAGTCGTTCTTGCATGCGTGTATGACATCGTAACCAAACCCAAAAACCTTCAAGAACTTTTTCATCTCAGCAGTGGACTTTGGAAGCACATTATCTTCTGGCAACATGTCTTTAATTGTCGTCAATAGCTGATCAAAGAAGTTCTCTGACATCCCACTCTTCACTTTGATGTTGTAAAGAACCGTTATTGCAGAAACCTTGTTATACTTGTGACACGTTGAGTATAGTGCAGTTTCAGCATCCTCTAACTTTTCCCTAAACTCTGCTTCTTCTGTAGTATACGCCTCAGATGGAAGTTCATCACCAACTTCAGACTCAAAATATGCTGTCCTTATCAAGTCATAAGCCTCTTCCTCTGAAGTTAGAACATCTGCAGATGTTCTCTCTCTCCTGTCCCCATGATTAAACCAACATGGATTCCTCCTGTACTTCAAATCCATACCTCTCATCACAAGATGATCCACTACAGTATCTAGTAGCTGATGGCAAACATTCCGACAATCGACACATGGACAGAGAATCTCTGCAAGATTACCCATAATACTTTATGCTCCATACACAAAATTCTTTGCTCCAGTCTCATACTCAAGGCTATTCCTAATATAATAATTTAAGAAAAAAATCAAAGTTCAGAATCACTATAAATGAAACAACCTATGATAATAACTGAGAGATGCATACCTTGGAAGCCAAGCCCATGCCTTGTCCATATTAGACCAATACGACCCAATCTCCACCACCAATTTATACATACATTATCATAATAACTTTAATGATCAGACACTCACATCAGACACAAAGTGTATAACAAACAGGTAAAGAAATAATATCTTACACAAGTCAAAGAACAAGGTAGGCACGGACAAGAAGTTTGAAGATTATGAATCAAGAATCTGCAAACAAAAAAACGACATGGATTATCAGAATCATTACAACAACACAACTCATCTTTACTGGAACAGCTACAAAGCTGTAAATACCTTGTAGTTTTTGTACTGAACAGCTACAGAGCCGCAACTACAGATCCGCAAATCCAACTACAATTCACAATTACAAGTCAACAAAATATCATCAGCAACTGGTAATGACCAGAGAGCAGCAAAAAAAATCGAATTAAGCTTATAAAACTAGAGACACAATAATTGATTTTTATGTTCTTTACATGTATAAACTTTTATGAATCTATGCATCACACAAACAAGACAGTAAATAAGAACTTATATAAACCCGATTCTCAACAAAAATCAGACAAAACTGAGTCAATTCCATACAAAAAATTTTACTCACAAAAGCTAGGAAACCAAATTAGCTTCAGACAGATCTAAACGCAGACAAAAATTAGGCAAATTAAAACACAGATTGAAAGTCGAACACCAAACTCACATAAAAAGAAATCGATTCCAATCATACAAACATCAATCCAAAACCCAATTACTTCAGAAACAACTGAAACAGAGCAAACCCAACACGAAATAAAAACTAAATCGTTTACAAAAACGAAAACCCATACATATTTTTTACCTTATGTATCAAATTAGGCGATCGATATGAGAGGGAATAGACTGAGCGGGATCGATAGTGGAAGAATCAAGCTAATTGGGATCTATGGTATTTCAGATTTCGACTTTCAGAGATGAGAGAGACGAGAGAGAGACGAGATCGAGAAGAAGAAAACACTAATTTTTTAACTCATTTTCTTTTTTTATCTCATGTTTTTTTTTCTTTTTTTTTTTTTGTTTTGTTCCCATTTTGGAGCCAATGAAAAAATTTGTTTCCGGGTTAACCTACAATAACGTTTTAAGTTTACCTATGCTATAATAGAACCAAGACTAAGTGCCACTCTGAAATATTTTTTCGCGCTCAACTTACCATAGCGTTTACCTTTTGGGAAACGCTATCTATAGTTTTTCTATACTCAATTATACTCCCTCTGTTTTCTAAAGATTGATTTTCTGAATTTTGCACACAGATTAAGACAGAATGATTGTTTCATTTTAGTACTTATTTGTCTACTCTTTTTTGTTTCCCAACACTACCAATATTCTTTTTTTTCTCTTTCTAATTCAATGAAAAGTTTTGCATCCAAAAAAAGAAAAAAACTGTAAAATAATGGTGGATGTTGTACGTACAAGCACCTGCTCTCACATATAAATTGACACAAGAGTAATAACTACTCTTTGACTGTACTAGTATAAATTATTTTTTCCATGCGTGTCATTAATTTACTTTTTTCGTAAAAAGAGAAAGTAATTAAATGTATTCTAAAAAATCAATCTTTTGAAAACAAAATAAAAACTCAGAAAATCAATCTTTGAAAAACAGAGGGAGTAGCATAAAAATAAAAAACGCTATAATGTTGTGCTATTAAAAGCCTTAATTCCTGTAGTGTAGGGTTCGACTTGCTCCTCCTCGTCTCTGCTTACCTATTCCTCCTCGTCTCTGCTTACCTATTTTGTAATATTTTATCACAAACTCTTAGATAGGTATGTCATCACTTAAGACCGAACGTTGTCAAAGAATTGATGAAGAGGTTGTTGCTTCTAAAGACGAGATCAATTTGTTGCCCGACGATTTGCTCATCCAGATTTTGTTGCTTGTACCGTGGCGTTATATCTGGACTTTGATGCCTAAACTCGAGTACAAAGACACTGGTCATGAGTGCAAAAGCGTTTGGAAGTTTCTTGACAAGTTTTTGGAACTTCACAAAGCACCTTTGTTAGAAACTTTGTGTATCCAACTCGGTAAAAATTGTCCAACTGATGTAGATGTTGGGAAATTAGTTGCAAATGTAGTTGATCGCTTTGTGCGCAAGCTAGAGCTAGAGCTCCACTGGACGGCAGAGCCTAGCAGCTTGCCTAAGAATCTTTACACATGCAAAATGCTTGTGGAATTGACTCTTTCGGACAAGATTATAGTGGATGTTCCTTCTTCGATTTGTCTCCCGTCACTCAATATATTGCGCCTTTTTCATGTTGTGTTCAAAGATGAAGATTCTCTCGAGAGGCTTATATCAAGTTGCTCAGTTCTTGCTCGATCGAGAGTGAGCCTCGCCTATTAAACTCCGGTGTATCGGAAAATAACGAGAGATTGAAGAAGAAGATAACAAACTTTATTCATCACTCTTAAGAGTTTGTTACAAGCGTTAAAACGTAAACCAAAATGTTCTTAAGCTTATATATACAGAACTTATGATTGTTAACCGAAGTTAACCAAACATTGAACCAGTTATAAACCAGCTCAAATCATCAAACCATAAATCATAATACACCCCCCTCAAGTCTGAAGCTTCAAACTGTCAGGAAGATACAGACTTGATAATGACATCCTCTTAAGGAGATGATGAAAAGGACCTGGATGTAATGGTTTGGTAAGTATATCAGCATGTTGATTTTCTGTTGGAACATGCAGTGTCTTGAGATTTCCAGCCTTAATCTGATCCCGGACGGTGTGACAATCGATTTCTATATGCTTAGTCCGCTCGTGGAAGACTGGATTCTGAGACAAGTATAGAGCTGATTTATTATCACAGAAGAGTTTAGCTGGACAACTCACAGTAATATGTAGATCCTTTAGCAATTGTTGAAGCCAGATGATTTCACATGTTGCTTGTGCAAGACTCCTGTATTCAGACTCTGTACTGCTTCTACTCACAACTGCCTGTTTCTTTGATTTCCAAGAAATGAGAGAAGTACCAAGATATATACAATAACCTGTGACAGAACGTCTTGAATCTTTGCATGTTCCCCAGTCAGCATCAGCAAATCCATTTAGACAAATTTCTGTATTGGCAGGATACATCAAACCAAGTCCTGGATTGCCTTTAATGTACCTTAGCACCTTTTGAGCTGCTTGGAGATGAACATCAGTAGGAGCAGAGAGAAATTGGCTCAAATGATGAACTGCAAAGGTTATATCCGGTCTTGTAATTGTCAAATACAACAATCTTCCTATCAATTCTCTGTATGATGATGGATTAGAAATAGGAGAACCCATCTCCATTGTAAGATGAACTGTTGGATCCATAGGAACAGTACTTGGTTTACAAGCCAATAAACCAGCATCCTCCAACAAGTTCTGTGCATATTTTCTCTGACAAACAGAGATTCCTGCAGATGATCTCGCTATCTCTAGTCCAAGAAAGAATCTAGCTGGTCCTAGATCTTTGATCTTAAACTCAGACCGCAACAAAGCTTTCAATTCTTCTAATGCTACATCATCATTACTAGCTATCATCAAATCATCAACATAGACTAGAATAGCAATGAATGATGTAGACTTCACTTTGACAAATAATGTGTTGTCTGCAGGAGATTGAATGTAGTTTGCCCCCAACAATACAGAAGATAACCGCTTATACCAATGTCTAGAAGCCTGTTTAAGACCATAAAGCGATTTGATGAGACGACATACCGGATTTGGTGGCAAGGTAACATTCTCCTTTGGTGTATAGCCTTGAGGTAAGCTCATAAAGATTTCTTCATCAAGTTCTCCATGTAGAAATGCATTGGAAACATCCATTTGCGTTAAACTCCAACCTTTGGCAGAGGCTAAACCAAGCATCAATTTCACACTTGTTAATTTTGCAACAGGTGAAAAAGTGTCTAGATAATCAATCCCCTCCTGTTGAGTAAACCCCTGAGCAACAAGCCTTGCTTTGTATCTTTCTACTGTACCATCAGGGTTATAATTAATAGTGAATACCCATTTACATCCCACAACATTCTTTCCTTCAGGTAAAGTTTCCACAACCCAAGTGTTGTTAGATTCAAGAGCATGAAGCTCCTCATTAGCAGCCTTAGTCCATTTTTCAGATTTCATAGCTTGGCGAAATGTCTTTGGCTCAGTTTCAGTATTATAGGAAAAGATATAGGATTGAAAAGGAGAATTTAGCTTAGTATATGAGACAACAGAGGAAAGAGGATAGGGAGTTTTATGTGTATGTGGTAAAGTAGAAGAAGATGAAGTAGAAGGAATATCTGGTGTTGGCTTAGAAATTTCAGATGTTGGTGGTAAAGAAGATGAAAAGGGAACAAGAGAACAATGATACTCAGACAAATAAGTAGGTGCTTTAGTGTTTCGTTTAGGCCTAGCAATAGGAACAGAATCAATACATGTATCATGTGTCTCTGTATTTTGTGTAACATGAATGGTACTAGGTGGTGAGAATGATGCAGATGTGTTATTTTCTGAGTTTTCATATGCAAATGGTGAATCAACAAAATGCAGAGGAACATGCAATGGTAAGATTGAATTAGGAAACATGTCTACAGACTTAGACAACAATTCACTAGTTTTGAATGGAAACTTAGTTTCATGAAACACAACATTACGAGAAATAGAAATAGAATGTGATTCAAGATCAAGAACCTTATAGCCTTTAAAACCAGAAGGATATCCTAAAAACACACATGGCTTAGCTCTAGGAGAAAATTTATTTCTATCCTGAACATATGTAGAAACATAGCATAAACTTCCAAAACTCTTTAACAAAGTATAGTCAGGTAAACGATTAAGAAGTAATTCATATGGTGATTTATTGTTCAATATCGGAGATGGCAGTCTATTTATCAAATGAGCTGCAGTTAAAACACAATCACTCCAATATTGTAAAGGAATATTTGACTGAAACAAAAGAGCTCTAGCAACATTTAACAAGTGTTGATGTTTGTGTTCAACCACAGAATTTTGTTGAGGTGTATATGCACATGAAAAATAATGCATCATACCATGTTCCTTAATGAGATCTGGAAAAGCAAGTTCAGGTGCATTATCTGATTTAATAGCTTTTATTTTTGCATTATATTGAGTAGCAATGAATTTGATAAAGACAGGAAAAACAACAGAAACTTCTCCTTTATTTCTCATCATATAAATCCAAGTAGTTCTAGTACAATCATCAACAAGTGTTAAAAAATATTTGAAACCTTCTACAGACTCAATGCTAAAAGGACCCCAAACATCAAGATGGACTAAATCAAAAGCTTTACTTGCAAGATTATTATGTGAAACATATGCTAATCGTTTTTGCTTTGCTAAAGGACAAATAGAACAATGAAATTCATGACTCTGTAAAGATTTTAAAGAAGGAATGACACTAACTAATTTTTGTAAAGCACTTGAAGACGGATGTCCAAGCCTTTGATGCCAAAGAAGACCATCAGTCAAAACAGAACCAGAAAATGAACAAGCTGCAGGTGTTGATGTGGAAAGGGATTTGTTCTCTGTTTCAAGAATGTATAGATTGTTATATAGTTTACCCCTCCCAATCATCAAGCCCTGAGAAAGTTCCTGAATAAAGCAACAAGTAGGAAAGAAATGAGCAGAGCAAGACAAAGTTCTAACTAAACAACTCACACTTATCAGATTAAATTTGAAATCAGGGACATGTAAAACATTATGCAGGATAATTGATGAAGTGATGCATATGGTACCTGTGTGTGTGATAGAGACCCTAGTACCATTTGGTAAAGTTACAGTAACACCAGACATAGGTATTAATTCCCTAAACATTGCTAAATCTGAACAAACATGACTAGAAGCCCCACTATCTATTATCCAAGCATCAGGTGCTAAAAATTTTTCAAGAGAAGAAAGAGTATGATTCTGAAATGTAAGATTATCATTTTCAAATTTAAGGCTAGTAGAGGGAAAAAGAAAAGTACCAGAAGTAGAAGTCTGAGCCATTAATCCATGTTCAGTAATAGTAGCCATTGGACCAGACATACTAGGAGAAGGAACTTCAGTCTCTTGAACCTTGACAGACGAATTGAATTGAGAAACTATACTCTGAATTTGGTCTGCTGTAAGATCTTGAAGATTCACATTGTTACCACCAGTAGTAACTTGAGGTTGACCAGGCAGAGAAGAACCTACTAAATAGCTATTTGCATGTGAATTTGCATAAGCATTTGCATTCTGAATTGTATTAGCATATGGAACCAATTGCATTGGGGAAGTTAACTGCATTTGAGCGACCATAGGTTGCATAGGTTGTTGTGGCATCCTAGGCTAAAACTGTATTGTTTGCATCCTTGGTTGAATTTGTAGTTGACCATTATTCCTGTAAGGTGCATTAGTCTTGTAGCCTGGTGGATACCCATGAATCTTGAAACACTTCTGAACCGTATGACCCATCTTCCCACAGTTACTGCAAATCGGTTTTTGTATTGGTCTTCCTGTGTTATAAGCTGCAATATAGCCATAGTCTGCATTATCCACCATAGGAGCAGTAGCTTGAAAAGCAACAGAATCAATTCTAGTAGCTGATCTAATGTTCTTCTGCCTCTCATCTTGACTAACAATGTTAAAAGCTTCTTCAATTGTAGGGATAGGCTTTAACATAAGAATATGACGTCTGGTTTGTTCATATCCTTCATTCAGTCCCATAAGAAACTTAGTCACACGACTTCTTTGCTGAAGTTTCTCCCATTTGACTGCAGCATCACACTCACATTTACCACAAGAACAAACTGGTAACTCAACATAATTCTTGTGTTCCTCCCACAGAGTAAGCAATGCCGTATAATATGCAGAAATATCCATTGAGCCTTGCTCTAGTTTACTTAATCGTTGTTCTATATCAAAAACTCTAGGTGCATCATCCTGCTTGAACCTAGTAAGCAAATTCTTCCATATACCTTCAGCGGTTGATATGAATAGCAAACTTCGCCCAATCTTTTTATCAACAGAGTTCATTAACCAAGTCGCAACAACATCATTACACCTAGACCAAGCTCCATAATCTTTATGATCTATCGAAGGCCTAACAATCGTTCCATCTATGAATCCTAGCTTATTACGAACATTTAAAGCCATCCATATAGAACGTCTCCAAGCCGGAAATTCAGAAGCTGTGGTCAATCGATTAGAAACAAGAATCAAACCTGCGTGATCATTGTTATGAAGATGAAAAGGATTCTCATATCGATCCATCTGATATCGATTATGCTCAGCATTAGGCGGTAGTTGCGGTGGTTGATCCGTCGGAAACAATGATGGTCGAACACAAGATCCCATTCTCAGTATAAGAAATAGGAAATCGCAAAGAAAGGTGTAACGAATATTGTAAAGAAAAGCAAAGATTCGTCAACACAAAGGTCAATTGAAGGAAAAGAAAGAAACAGAATGGAAAAATTCCGACGAAATCAAAAGAAAAATCGAAAGAAAGTACTTCAACGAGCTCCGATTTAGCTTAACAAACTCCGATCAATCACCGGAAACAACGAAGAAGAGAATGCGGAAGCTTAATAGAACGCTCTGATACCATATTAAACTCCGGTGTATCGGAAAATAACGAGAGATTGAAGAAGAAGATAACAAACTTTATTCATCACTCTTAAGAGTTTGTTACAAGCGTTAAAACGTAAACCAAAATGTTCTTAAGCTTATATATACAGAACTTATGATTGTTAACCGAAGTTAACCAAACATTGAACCAGTTATAAACCAGCTCAAATCATCAAACCATATATCATAATATCGCCGTCAGTGATGACTGGAGATACCGCCGTTTCCCAAAGATGAATAAGCTTCGCTTTGGAAAGCCACATATCGACATTGTATGTCATACTGATGACAAGTTTCTCAAAGCTATTTCCTTGGTCACGTTTCTTGTGTTGTTACCTTTGGAAGATCCAATGGTATGGATTTCGACCTCCAGCTTTCTCTATCTCTCCCTTTACTTTTTATTCTTTTTATTTTTATTTTCTTCTTGGTTGTAGTTTGGTCACATTGCTCTATATGGTTTGATGGTTTAGTCATTGAAGGCTCTGGATTTTAGTGGCTTTACCTTCTCTCGACTTGAAAAGTTAGTGATATGTGGCCGTATCTGGTTGGATATACTTCCACTAATTCTCAACAACTCTCCTAAACTAAGTGTTCTTGCTATCACTTCTGTAAGTAACAAGTATAACAACACAATATCCTTTTTGTATAAACTGATTAATCTTTGATTCTACCTCATAAATTTTTATGTACTTGCATCCAGATAAGTGGATATCTACCCGGAAATCTCCCAACGTCATGGTCCCAACCAAGTTTTGTTCCCAGATGCTTGTCGGCTCATTTAGAGGAGTTTTTGTGGCATGGATATAGAGGAAACGAAGAAGAGACACAGCTCATAAGATACATTTTTGCTAATGCAAAGTGTTTAAAGAAAGTGACAGTCACATTTATATGGGAACATATTCAAATATCCGCCTTCAATCTTGAAGAGAGAGAGAGGTGATAGAATCAGTGTTAAAATCTATGCCTAGAGTTTCAACAACGTCTAAGCTTGTGTTTAAATGAAGAATGTATTCTCTTACCATTTGGTGCACAATCAGATCTATATGGGAACATATTCCAACTTCTTTGAACATATTGGACACATTGTTTCTGATGCATAACATTTTACCATTGCCCCCTCGAAAAACTGAAAAAAAAAAAACAAATTTATGAGGGAATTGAATACTACCTACCAACTTCTTCGAGATTTTTTAATTTAATTTGTTTCAAATTAACAAAAGAATACACGGGGATGTGCCTTTAGTCAGGTTAAATCCATTTGACTCTGCCTTCCCCACCGGAGTTCGATTTCTCTAAGTCGCGTTATCTCGCGTAGTAGGGATTAGCTATGGATCGGGTTTTGTCGATCCAAAGATGTCAAAAAAAAAAAAAAAAAAAAACAAAAGAATACCTTTGAAGTTATTGAACACAAAGTTGAAATCTGTTTATAAAATTAAAATGATAGGTTTTATAGTTGCGATTTTAGTGTATAAACCGAACGGAATAAAACAAAATTTATCAAAATTTATATATTTTTAAATTTTGATTAATAATAGATTTGCCAAAGGTTTCTGGAACCAACCCGCTCTGGTATGCGAATGACATTTAATTATTTTAAAAGGAAAAAAATCCCTTTGATTTTCGTTATTAGCCAAGTAATGATTCACTCATGTATAATTGTATTTATAAAGTTGACAAAATAAAAAAGTACTAATCCCTACACACCACACACCACGCTTTACACATCAATAGGGAGAGAGAGGAGAGAGACCGGACCAAACACAACGCCCTTAAAGACAGGAAGATACTTTGTCATATCTTTGCTATTTCTCAAAAAAATGAGGGACGATAGAGAAAGAGGAGAGGATGAATTGTCATGGCCTTTGATCGGAGAGAAAAGTAGTGTCAAGGAAGAAGTGAAGAAGCAGCTATGGCTTTCGGGTCCACTCATCGCCGTGAGCCTTCTTCAGTTTTGTCTACAAGTTATCTCCGTCATGTTCGTCGGTCATCTTGGCTCTCTTCCTCTCTCTGCCGCCTCTATCGCCACCTCTTTCGCCTCCGTCACCGGTTTCAGCTTCCTCGTCAGTTTTTCCGACTCTCTCTTTATCTATACATTACATATATCTCATATCCCTCCCTATATATTTTCTTAACCATGTATCTTAATCTTCTTCTACATGTTACATAGGAAATTAGGCATATAATCAATTAACAAATAAAAAAAATTAGGCAAAAAGTTCTGAATTTAAAACTTGATTGGGTAATTGGTGATATTAATTTCCTTTTTTTTTTTTTTTTTTCTTTTTAAATATCTTAAAACCTTTAGTATACCTCTAAAGAGAAATCATAGTAAATTCTATATCATTAGAAAGAACTATATATTATTCACCTATGATGGACTTATCACTTAGCAGGCCACCTTGTTTGAATATCCAAGTTGCGTAAGCATCTTTTCTGCCACTCGTACAGATTTAACGACAAGAAATTTTAATATAAAAACATTTTGGCATTTTACGGACAAAAGTGAAAACGTCAAAATAACAAAATCAAAAAGTTTTTTGCTAATTTTTTTATAAAGGGATGCTTAGTGATTACAGTATTATTATTTTTTGTTGTGTCAAACTAAAGGTATGCTTAAATTATTTTTCCTACTCAACAGACCCAATAGTCGAACATAATAGAAACAGTGAATGATGTCACCAAACCCAAGCGAAAGTTTACTGTTAAACGTTTACTTGTGAAGCACGAAAACTGTGCTGATTCACTTTTCTTTCACTATGTTCCTCATGAGCAGATGGGAACAGCAAGTGCCTTAGATACACTTTGTGGCCAAGCTTACGGAGCAAAGAAGTACGGAATGTTAGGGATACAAATGCAAAGAGCAATGTTTGTTCTTACACTAGCTTCTATTCCTCTCTCCATCATATGGGCTAACACAGAGCATCTTCTCGTCTTCTTTGGACAAAACAAATCCATTGCTACACTAGCTGGCTCCTACGCAAAATTCATGATCCCAAGCATCTTCGCCTACGGTCTCCTTCAATGCTTTAACAGGTTTTTGCAGGCCCAAAACAATGTGTTTCCTGTGGTTTTCTGCTCTGGAGTCACCACTTCTCTTCATGTCCTCCTTTGTTGGGTCTTGGTTTTCAAATCTGGTTTAGGGTTTCAAGGAGCTGCTCTTGCCAACTCTATTTCGTATTGGCTTAATGTCATTCTCTTGTTCTGTTACGTTAAGTTTTCGCCTTCTTGTTCACTAACTTGGACCGGTTTCTCTAAGGAGGCTCTACGCGATATCCTCCCTTTTCTGAGATTAGCTGTTCCTTCTGCACTTATGGTCTGGTAATACATAGATGAATTAATGTTACAAATACATTGATCTATCATCTCTTAATTAGCTATCTTGATTTCTTATGTAATGTTGTTTGAGCGCAGCTTAGAGATGTGGTCCTTTGAACTTTTAGTTCTCTTATCAGGACTTCTTCCAAACCCGGTTCTAGAAACTTCTGTTCTCTCAATCTGGTAAGAATAATGCATACGAATAATTGTGTATTTTCCTAATTCAAGAGTATTTAATCATGTTCTTGAGTGCAAATTGACTTTAGTCAGAAAAAATTTTGTAGCCTTAATACAGCAGGAACAATGTGGATGATCCCATTTGGTCTCAGTGGAGCTGCAAGGTAAATAGATATAACTTGAATCATGTAACCTTAGATCAAACTCATAATATAGGCCATTGATTATCCTTTAAAATCGGTGCAGCACAAGGATCTCGAATGAATTAGGAGCGGATAATCCGAAAGTGGCTAAGCTTGCGGTGCGTGTGGTCATATGCATTGCAGTCGCAGAAAGTATATTGATCGGATCAGTTTTGATATTGATAAGGAATATATGGGGATTGGCTTATAGTAGTGAACCAGAAGTAGTCACCTACGTAGCCTCGATGATGCCGATTCTCGCCTTAGGCAACTTTCTAGACAGTCTTCAATGCGTTCTCTCAGGTTCTTTTTCTTTCTTTGCTTGCAAGTAAAGGCTTTTAAAAACACCCTAATCATGAAGAACTTGGTTTAAGTCCGGTTATGTTTGTGTGTTTTTCGGGTTAATTAACAGGGGTTGCTAGAGGATGTGGATGGCAGAAGATAGGAGCAATCATTAACCTTGGTTCATATTATCTTGTTGGAGTTCCTTCAGGCTTGTTACTTGCTTTCCACTTTCACGTTGGTGGTCGGGTAAATGAAACTAACCCAAATTAATCAGATTCTTTTTCGATTTAACTTTTTATAATGTTAACGTTAAACATATCAATGATGTTAATTTTTGAAGGGGCTTTGGCTTGGAATCATATGTGCCCTCGTTGTCCAAGTTTTTGGTCTTGCCCTCGTCACCATTTTTACAAATTGGGATGAAGAGGTAAAAAAGCTTTGTATAAGTTTTCTTAATATTAATTTGTTCGTCTTATACGTATATGTACTATGCTTAATGTTTATGATTATGATTAATGGTGTATCTTCGTTTTTTTGGATAGGCCAAGAAAGCTACAAATAGAATTGAGTCTTCTTCAAGTGTAAAGGATTCTGCAGTTGATGATGGGTCAATTGTTGTATTCTGAGAGCCATTGTGTGTTTTTTGTTCTTAACAACAAAAGCACTCTATCATTGATAGTTTAGAAAATGTATTTTACTTAAGGATGTTAATGGTGGGTACCCAAAACCCATATCAAATAAGAAGCCCACAGATCTACTTTTTATGTTGTAAAAACGCGGGCTTAAAATTGTTCGGATACCCGAATGAAGGAAGTCTCAATATGGAAGAGAAGTGGTAATAAAAGAATTTCTAGATAGAGTTTTTCAAGCTCTGATATAACATATTCATTTATATCCTCGTATACCAGACCAAACTCTGAATACTGAGTCCTTAATATATATGTAATATGCGGATGCGGAATCATACAAACAAGATCAGTGTATAGATGATGAAATGAAAGCAAAATTGATTATGCCTTACTAGACATTCCATAGCCTAAATTAGAATATGCGAAGCGATTCTGAATAACATATTATCTAAAGACACATAACATATATTACAAGCAATAAAAAGACAAATGAAGTAAAAAATTGGAGTTTTAAAACCACAGACGATATCAATTGAGAGATTAATTAGTCGCAAAATTCCAGAACCAAGAGACTAAACCCTAAAAAGCGAAACCAAAGGAAGAAATAACGGTGATATCGGAACCTTAAATTGAAGCGATCAATTCAAACACAAAGAAGAAAGTCAATTAACAATGTGGGAATCGCCAGCGAGATCGATTTTTCACGAAAGATTGGCTGTAGATGTATATGTGGGGATTCTGTAATAACTAAAAACACTTAAAAAGAAACACTATTAAAATACCTTGTGGCATTATTGGTAGACAATCGCCTCTCATTCCTTCAAGGCAATATCCATGGAGAACTACAAGATTGTGATGAACGAGAACCTTTGTTAAAACACAAACCTCAGATTAAATTCTTCATGACGTTTTCCTCCTATCCATTGCCCCATCCTTTTCACTGCAATCTCAACGTCTCCACTCTGCAGTTTCCCTTTGTACACTGATCCGATCCAAAACCACCTTTCCCCACCATGTTCTTCTCTCAAAAATCTTATGTAGCTTTCCCGAAATTCCAGACTAAACCCTACAAACAAAACAAAACCCAAACTTTCAAAAAGAATGTAACGGTAATATCGATTGGACTATTTTTTATCGACAATTTTTTTTGTAAATTTTAAGGATCTTGAATATGCTCGAATTCAAAATTGTAGTCAAAATAGTTATATTTATTATCTTTGATTTTCAAAAAATAATAATGTGAAGCATGTAAATAACGAAATAATAAACAGTACATCATAAGAAAATATATTGAAAAATGCATAGAGTTGGATGAATAAAAGAGGAATCTTGAAAATTTATCTATGTTTTGCTAGTAATTTGCTTCTATTTTGCTTATGTTTTATCTATTTTTTTTGCCTTTAAACATAGCTAACAAACTTTATATTTTGGTAATTCTAGAACAACTATAACGTATTAATAGAATTGTAAGCAAAATAATTCATCATAAATACATTATAAACCTATTTAATTATCTCTTTGACAAAGAATAAAGTGATTATCTTTATAAGGAATTAGCCTTAGTTTGCTTTGCATTTCCAAGTGTAAAAATAAAGTATTATATTCACTCTAGGAATGTGATCAGGTCGGTTGATATATTAGCGAGACGTCTAAACCAACTGAACAGATCTTTATTATTCCGTTGCTTTAATCTCTGATATACGCAGCAACGTTTAATTTACCGACCACACTGGTTCTGTTTTTTCGCTTGATAGAAAAATTTTCAAATATGAAACTTTAGACTGGTAGGTGCAATGAAAAAACTTTCTAATGTCGTCCATGTTTATATTTTCATTCATAAAAGCTATAGTGTTTTCTGATTCTTTAAATAGTAGTGTCAGTCGGCCTCTTAGGCATTGCAAAATCTTTCTTTTCAAATCTCAGCCAACTTAGTACATTATTGATAATCCTTGCTTAGATCCCTATAGACCCGACTAGGCTAGATTGCCATCCTGAAGCCCTAGAGACCACCACATTCCGCTCGTCTCACTGTCATAGACCATGATCCAACCACCAAACTACATTTTGACTTCACCAAATTTCACATCTAATGCTACATATTGTTAAACATGCATGATACTTTATTGCCTCTGGCTCGCTGTGTGTAATTCTACTTTTTCCTTTTCTTTGTGGATAATACAAAGCCAATAAATTATACTAATTTCATTATTTATCAAGCTTTTACCTATTGAACTCGATTATAATTAAGAAAGAATCTAATGTAACATAAATACACAGACATATTCTGATATTTTCAATCCATCAAGATGCACATACAACTTTGTAAGAATGTCCTGAGAGCTAATAGCTTTGTCTCTTTTGGCAGATCAACAAAATTCCCTCCGAAGCTTCCCAATAGAGAGAGAGAGAGAGAGAGAGAGAGGCGTATGCTTTTAACACTACAAGTCATATTTTAGTGCTTTCAATCTTGCCTTGGAGGAGATGCAGCTGTTGTTTCTCTCGCTGTACCTGCAACAACCCGGGTTTAGACAACTTTGAAGATGATGAGAGAGTTCTTAATTTGCTGATCAAACATTACTCATAGATTAAGTCCGACAGATGCAAGGCTAACCATTGGGCTGGGTTTCTCCGGTAGGTGTTTGTACAGTTGTGGGTTGTAGCGGTTCTTGAGTCTGAGTTTGATCCTCTGTTTGGCTTTCAGCGGGAGATGAAGCTTTAAGCTGCTCTTCAGTGATCTTTAAGTAATCCTCCGTTGTGTAAGCTTTAGGTGATTGTGAATCATCTGCTTATTTCAATAAAAAAATCATCTTAGCTTAGCTTCATGAATATAAACATAGCAAAGATCGAAACGTTAACAGTCCGTTACAAATTAGCTAATGCTTGAGGAGCTCATGGTCTACACTAGACGAATCAAACTACTTTCTAATATGTCTCAATCAAATGCCCAGTATGCTTCCATTTTCGTTAGCAAATCAAATCCGAATATATTTCCAGAACCAAATGGCAGTATCTTTGTTTAACTTGGTTTGGTGTCAATTGGGTGAAAGATGAAGAAGAACAAAAGCATATGCACATAGTAAAGTTAGACCACTCACTGGGATCATTTGCAGTCACAGGAGCTTCAGTGCTAGGAACTGATGGTGGTGGTGGTGGAGGAGGAGGAGGTTGAACAAGATTCGTTCTGTTTTGGTTGTACACGTTTGGCGTTGAGATTTCATCAAGGCCAATTTCACGCTCAAGGGTACTTTTAAAATCTCTTGAAACATCCTAAAACAAAAGACATGTAAGCAATAAAAAATATTAGCACATATACAAACCAATCTCATTGTTTCTCAAAGTCTTGAGATAAAAGAAAAAACAAACTTGTAGCTCTTTAATCGTTGGCTGAAATGTACGCAGAGTTTTTCCAAGATTCCGAGCTACCTGCACGGATCATAGCAAGTAAAACACTTCTTCAATGATCTAAAGCAACTGTAAAAGACTACATGGAGAAGAAACAGTGATATCTTGAGCTCTTTTCTCTTCTCATTCCCAAACTCAGCTCGCAAATGCTCCATAAAGGAGTCGAACGAGTGGAATTCGTAATTTAACAAAGAAACTTTCTCCAAGATAGGATTTTTGATCAAGAGAGAATCAAACTCAATTAAGCCAAAAGCTCATCCATCTCTAGCCTTATCTATACACTGTACTCCAATTCTCCTAAGATAAACTAAACAGTAATAATTCATAAATTGCTTAAACCTTAAAAAGCTATGATTCCAAATCAATGATCAAGAAAATTGTCACACAAGACGTCAAGATACAAACCTCAGCAAGACCTTTAGGACCAAAGACTAACAAAGCAACAACACCAATAACCAAAGCCTCAGGTGCTCCAACACCAAACAAAGACGCACGAATCATCATACTCTTACATCTTCTCTTCTTCTCTGCACAAAAACCACCAAACCTTCAGAAATTGAACAGCTTTACAAAAACCCAGAAGTAAAAAGCAATCAATTCTCTGAAATCGAAACCTGGGTTTGAAGATTTTGGCGAGATTGAGATGCCCAAATGCTTTAAACCAATGTAAGGAGAGAAACGAGAAGAACCCATGAGAGAAATCCATGAGGAGAGTTTAGGTTTCGAAGCTTTATAACAAGATTGCAGAGGAGGATAAGAGAAAAGGTGAGATTTTGTAATAGTTGGTGATGAAGAAGAAGAAGAAGCTATAATCTGAAACGCCATGGCCATGGGAAGCTTCGAAATTGTATTATAGTTTTGTGTGTAGCTTCGAAGACTATCTTAAGCCATAACTTACTTCATCATCTTTCATCACCAATCAAATGTGCATAGCTTGAAAATGAAATAACGCTCAGAAAAAGAGAAAAAAGAAAATCTAAATTATCCTTTGGAAAATCTGAATGAGATGGTCGCAAACACAGAAATATTGATTTTTTTTCCCTTTTTCTTTACCAATAGCAAATGGGCCGTTAAAAATGTTTGGGCTACATGTTTTGGGCCTGAGCTGAGTCGTTGCACTCTTTCTCTTGAATAAACTTTCTCTACATAACTACATAACTACGTAGATGATTGGTTCGTCTGTAAAATTTTTGTTGTAGGTGTGATAAATGTAGCTGTAAGTTTTATTGCAGTAGATTTTATTAATATAATATTATTATTTAAATAAATTGGTTGTAGCAATAAGATTTTAGTTTTACGTACTTTTAAACAAAAAATATAATTAACAAATAGTAGTTATGTGTTATAAAATTTCTCAAATATCAATTTAATAAATTATGATATACATATATATGATGTATTTTAAAAAACCAATGTGAGTTATATATATTTTTTTGCCCCCAAAAAGAGTTATATGTCAAAAAATAGATTTTTACCTACTACTTAGATCCATAAAAATAAATTTTCATAACATATATGGATGAAACAATAATTACTTTCTAAAAGAAAAAGAGAAAACAAAGTGGAAAGAAGAAAAAAAATGTACAGCTCTTCTAAAGACCATAAAATTGTGCTGCAGAAAAATTTGTACTTACAGCCAAAATAATTAAAAAAAATATTGTTTGGGCTGTGAGAAAAAATAGGAAAGTTACAGCATGATTGTTTCAATTTTGGGGATATAGGTTTTTTAGTTGCTTTAAACATCTCATACAGCCCAACCAATCATGCCCACATTGTGGATTGCAAGTCTCATCTTGTTGAGATTAGCTTAATTTTAGATTGAGATTGAGTGAACTCACTTGTGTTCTTTCGATACTGTTTCGTTTTCCTTTTTATTCTCAATCGAATCGAATGACAAGTGAGATTTGTGGTTATAGTTATTCCTCAAATGTCGAATCATAGGGATAATCTCAACAACAACTTCTTTAAGTATTAGTTGAAAACTATTCTTTAGAAAATTTAATTCGATAATGATATACACAACCAAACAAGTTGAATTTTATAAAGACACAACCAATTTGATTCATGTCTTGATTGGTGGTATTGAACTTAACAAAAAAATTAAATAGATGAGACTTTTAGTTTTGATTGATTTCAATATGGTTTCATATCCTATTTTTTTTAGGATATGAAATTTCAATATGGTTTCATATCCTAAAAAGGTAAAAAGAAAGAGTAATAATTAGTTTTCCTTGTAGAGAGTTAAAAAGGAAGAAAGTAACAAAAGTAGAAAAAAAGTAAGAAAAGAAAGGTAAAGGAGTGGCAAGTCATACACACGCACGAGGGTTTGCTCAAAAAGCCATCACAGATTCACACAAAACAAGATGGTATGCGCACGTGTGCTTCTTATTGTTCCCAACCTTTCTCCAATTATTTTATTCTTTAATTTATTTTATTTACTAATGGGCATAGTTATAAAGTAAGAATAAACACACTAATAATAACTACTATTTGTGAATAATTACGAATAAGAACATTCAAAAGAGGTACATTTTCTTTGCATGTATTAAAGCAACTCTAGTTATAATAAAATTTAGAGTAAATTCTTAAACTTGAGATGAGTCACATGGGAGTTCCAATGATGAAGTGGCCTCTATTATATTACCTCACTTATTGATCGGTCCCATATCATATGCGTACATAAAGCTTATAGGGTCAACTCTTGGCATGGTCTAGTATTTTCTTCTTTCCCTTTGACTAGAATCATTCGTTTTTATAGATATATATTTGAAGATACTAATTATAAAAAAAAAACCTACATATAGACATTGGCCAACGTTAGTATTTTACGATACACTAGTCTTTACACAATTTTTTTAAAGTTCTAGATATAATATACCCCTTTTTTAGAACTTTGATTCGAGAAAAATGCAGAGAAAAAAATATATTATTCAAAAAAATATATATATATATAAATGTTCACAAGACTTCTCTTCTCCAAGTTTCCAAACCAATTTACTAGAATCTCTTCACTAGATAAAAATTCATTATGCATATCTACGGATTGAACCTACCCAAATTATGTGACTAATCACAATCACATAATGCATAACTAAATGATAAAGTAAGTGGAAGCGCGTGTGGTGGTGTGAACTGTGAAGGAACCGTCTAAAAATGTGATGACGTGGCAAAAGCTCGTGGTAAAATTGAATGAAAAGCTGGACTAGATAACGACCGGTGTGAGTGATAGAGAGAGAGAGAGAGAGAGAGAGAGAGAGAGAGAGAGAGAGAGAATTCAATCCATCATTATAACAAAAACCTTCTTTGTTTCTCATTTTAATTTTCTCGGGAAAATCTCTCTTCATAGATCCAAGTGTTGGTTTCTGAGTAGTAGTAGTAGTACGCAAATCTGGATGTTATTGTTGGTGTGAATCTGGATTTCGAAATATGAGAAACGTTAATAATAGCGTTGAGACTGTTAACGCCGCCGCTACCGCCATCGTCACCGCCGAGTCTCGAGTTCAGCCGTCGTCTGTTCAGGTAACTTCTTCTTCTAATTCTTCCGATATTGAAAATGTGTTTTTCTTCAGATCAGTAATTGTTAGATCGTGATTCCGAGATTTGTAGCTTTTGTTTGATTGCTGTGAAAATTTGATCTATACTTAGTTTTGAATTTCGCGATTTTGGTGTTTTGATTTAGATTAGACTTACGAAACTGATGTGATTTTGATTTTGAATTTCGCGATTTTGGTGTTTCGATTTAAGAGTTACGATTCTAGATCAGAGCTAAGATTTATGCAATTTGGTGAGCTTAGTTCTGGATTACACAATTTGGTTCTCAAAAAGGTAAAAAAGATGAGTCGTTTGCTTTTTCAATCTCATTGTGGATTGGCTTTACAAGTCATAATAGCATTCATGATTATAAAGGTTTAAAGTGTTTTTTAATTTCAGTTCATGTTTAGTAATTATAGTATAAATTTCTCCAAAAGTGAACTATAAACGTTTAGGTAACTTTATTTCGAAAGCTTTTTACTTTGAGAAAGTTTTGTTGAAACAGTACTCTTTATCTTTTGTCTCTCTAAAGGGGATCAAGATGAGTCTAATTATGTGTATTTAAATTGTATAGAAGGGAAGATGGGGAAAATGTTGGAGCTTATATTCGTGTTTTGGAACTCAAAAGAATAATAAAAGGATTGGTAATGCTGTGCTTGTACCTGAACCGGTTGCATCTGGAGTTCCGGTAGTTACTGTTCAAAACTCAGCTACTTCAACTACAGTTGTTCTTCCCTTTATAGCTCCTCCTTCATCTCCAGCTTCCTTTTTGCAATCCGATCCTTCATCGGTTTCTCATTCGCCTGGTGGTCAACTTTCTCTTACTAGCAATACTTTTTCCCCTAAGGAACCTCAGTCGGTCTTTACTGTTGGACCGTATGCTAATGAAACTCAACCTGTCACTCCTCCGGTGTTCTCTGCGTTTGTAACTGAGCCATCTACTGCACCGTATACTCCGCCTCCGGAATCATCGGTTCATATAACTACTCCGTCTTCACCTGAAGTTCCCTTTGCTCAGTTGCTTACATCTTCTTTGGAGCTAACTCGGAGGAATAGTAGTAGCGGGATGAATCAAAAGTTCTCGTCGTCACACTATGAGTTTCGGTCTAATCAAGTGTGTCCAGGGAGTCCTGGTGGTGGTAATCTAATCTCCCCTGGGTCAGTGATTTCAAACTCTGGTACATCTTCTCCTTACCCTGGTAAATCACCCATGGTCGAGTTTCGAATAGGCGAGCCTCCAAAGTTCTTAGGTTTTGAGCACTTCACAGCTCGTAAATGGGGATCGAGGTTTGGTTCTGGATCGATCACACCTGTTGGGCACGGTTCAGGATTGGCTTCAGGCGCTCTGACACCAAATGGTTTAGAGATAATATCTGGAAACCTAACACCCAGCAACACCACATGGCCTCTACATAATCAGATCTCTGAGGTCGCGTCTCTAGCCAATTCGGATCACGGCTCTGAAGTCATTGTAGCAGATCACAGAGTTTCATTTGAGTTAACAGGAGAAGACGTTGCACGTTGTCTTGCAAGCAAGCTAAATCGATCACACGACAGAATGAACAACAATGACCGGATCGAAACAGAGGAGAGTTCATCAACAGACTTAAGAAGAAACATGGAGAAAAGGTCAGCAGATAGAGAAACCGAACAGCAGAGAATTCAGAAGCTGAATTCCTCATCGATTGGATCTAGCAAAGAATTCAAATTCGACAACACGAAAGACGAGAACATCGAAAAGGTTGCAGGAAACAGCTGGAGTTTCTTCCCGGGGTTACGATCTGGAGTCAGCTAACCAAATAAAAACGACGTCTCTTCTTCTTCTTCTTCAATCATTACCAAAGACAGATATAAAAACCCTATTAAGTAACAAACCTTACACATGGATCGTGAAAAAAGGCAAGAGATTCGGGGTCTAACAACTTATACACACTGAATAAATAAGCTAAAGCTTTGGTTTGCAATTAACTTCTGTACTCATGTAGTTAGAAACTTGGGATTATTATTGGATCAGCTCCTACATATAATCTTGTTTACATGTTTATTTCTTTTGTTATTATTTCACACAAATATATTGTTTGAACTGAGATGGTGAATGGTGTTAGTCTATATTTACGAAAACATGTTCATTTCTGTTCTTTCAACCAAACAGAGATTTGGTTATTATAAGAAATCTAACAACACTGTGAACTACATAAACTGGATTGTTCAAAGAAAACATCAAATAATTATACAGAAACTAGAAAAGAAACACATTTAGATCACGATTAATCCTAAAACCAAACCGGACCGTTTAAACAAAATGGGAAAGAAAACAACCAGAGCTGGAAACTAAACCGGAACTAAACCGGGTTTCAATTCTCCTTATTATAACCGGAAATAAACCGGGTTTCAATTCTCCTTATCAGAACCGTAATACCTCTTGAAAGCTCTCGGTAAATAAACCGGAATCAAAACACCAAAGAGATTAAACGACCAAATCCCTAAATTCACCGCCGCCAAAACTTTTCCGGCGTACATCCGCCGCACTGAAACCGTCCCCGTCCCATCCTCCCTCGAGAACTCACTCATAATCCAATCCACAAGAGTCAAAACCCTCCTCGCGTTATAAACAATCGGAACAAGAATCCTCGCCGGAGCAGAGAAGCCAAACATCGACGCCAATCCTTCCATAAAAACCTGACACGCTAAAAGAAACACGTGCGGTGCAGCTGCGCTCACACCGTTCTTATCATCCTCCACGATTCCTTCGAATATGTAACAGATCGGAATTATAAGTCCGACGATCCCCGCCGATGTTACATAGATACGGAAGATTTTGTTTGTGGAGCTTGTGAGAGGAGCGTCACGGTTTGGATTGTTGTGTGGAGGGAAGATTAGTTTTGAGAAGACGAAGAAGTAGATGAGAGTGAGGATTGTGAATATGAAATCTTGGATTGTTACGAGACCACTTGCGGAGAGAACGATGATTATTGCGAGGATGTTTAGTTGTCGGAATGAGAAAAATCCGGCGGGTTTTCCGGTGGATGATACTGTTGAGGTTTGGGTTTGATGTTGTTCTTCTTTTGGTAAGGTTATGTCGTTGTACGTCGGACCGACACCTCCAGACATTGTTTTGGTGTACTGTTAAGGATTTTTTTTTTTCTCGGGAAAATGTGGTGAGAAAATTTTTGAGGTTGGAGAGAGGAAGATAAAAAGAGTGTGAAGAAGGGGACACGTGGCGGATGCCGAAGAGTTTGAATGGAAGAGGTTAGAAGACGTGGAGGACTTACAGAACTCGAGTTTTACTTTTGTCTTATTGTGCTCACAAATTAGTTTAGATTTTATTTTTAAGTTTTTATTACTATGAAAGGTGATGAAATGAACATAAAGAAGAAGAGTAATTATATATCTACGTTTAAACTTTTAAAGATAGGATACAAATACTACTTTTTTCGTTTCACATTATAAGTAGTTTTGTTTCATTTTTAAAAAATAATTAAAATTTAATTTTCACTTTTTATTATAAAAGTCAATTCAGAATATAGGTGATATATTCTTTTTCTTGAACCACAGAAATTAATTTCCTAATAAAAATCCTAACAAAACAAATTTTAGTTCCGAAAATTATGTAGTGAAAAGGAAATGAAAAGGGAACTAATATTTACAAGAACCGAATCGATCAAAATGTTTTCTTATGAGAAAAAAAATGAGAAGAAATGGAGTTTAATAAGGCAGACTGCAATCCTACTTAATATCATAAATGTTCATAAGAAACATATAAATCTATGTGCTAAGGAAACCTAATTATTTGGGCTTTGTGGAAGTGCATGCACTAGGCTTTGCGGTTGTAGATTTCAATTAGACGCTTCAATGATTTCTAGTTATAGTTACAAAAACAAAAACTAATTACCAGGAAAAGAACCCGGAACCAAACTCAGGGTCAGTCCAACAATATTGGTGGCCTGAAACAAAAAATTTCGAAAAAGAAGCATCTACCTATTACTTTTTAAAACAACAAATTAAATGGAAGAAAACGAATCAAATAAAAAGGGGAATATATACAAAAACAAAGAAAGCAAAATGAGAAACATGAAAAGAGTATATAGAAAGATATACTCGAACTCAAAACTTTAAAGTAAATGGAAGAAAAGTATTATAATGCTAATCTAAGAAATTAATTAAGTGCCTCCAAAATCCTTATTATAATGTGTGGCCCTAATCCTTTGTTTGGCGGGCTTGCCCAGCGGACCGGCCCTGACCAAACTATAGAAATGAAAATGATTTAACTAACAACGAATTAAACTGGAAATCGTATGAAACAAAATGCATTGTATCACGATAATTGATGTTCTAAAAGAAGAGCTAAGATCTTGGGTGAGAATACTTGGTTGCAGTAACAATTTTAAATTCGACCTCCAATGTCAAAGTGTCATTGTCCAAGCAGCCCTCCCGAAGATTGGCTATAGTGACAAAATGTTCGCAACCCCACCCTTGGGTTGATTTCTTGTAACAGACGTTAACTTCAAGACAAATAAATATATGTAAGCATACTGAAAACTTAGTTAAGACTTGAAAAAAAAGCATACTAAGTGATTTGATTTCACGAATATAAAAAATTGTGTTTATACGTTTGTGTGTGACGTGATTGCAGTATTCACGTGGACGTGGGCAAAATAATACTCGGAGATCTGCATGCACGTAAACCTTATCATCCTCCGACAGGGTTTCACTATCAGCTACATGCAAAAATAAGGACATCTGATTTAGTTCCCTTTGGATACATCTTCAAAACCCTACAGAAAAATCACATTATTTTGTACACACTTAGCGTACATAGATGTGTATATATAGAATGATTTATTAGCCTTACCATTCTTTTCCTCCAATTGAAAAGTTGGGGGAAACATAAGGATTCTCTTTCAATACGGAGAAACCCTTGACAGATGACAGTCCAGGAGAATATGGATGTTGAGAGTTTCTGATTAAAAGAGACTTCCCAATTGGTAAGGGGTGGAACAACCATGACTTCAACACCAAACTCGCATTTTTGCCCCTCGAAGATATATCCATTTTTTGGAATTTCGAATAGATAGAGAGGAAGCACTTGAGAGAATCCCCATTACCATTCTTAAAGCATTGAAACGCTTTACTTCAGTGTCTATTAGAAAATTAATGGAATAATTCAGCGTGACATATATGACAAATACTTAAGCAAAAAAAAAAAATGACATATATGACAAATGAACAAGTCTTATAGTTAGCAATATTGAATAATATAGATATGTTTTCACCAACCTTGAATAGTAAAGTACTTTTGTTCGTTCTTGTTGTAGACGAAGAACTTGACATATGCAAAAACTTCAGATGTGCTGTCTATTTCCACGTACATTGAAATAAAACCGCTTCCATTGTCCTTCGTTCCCTTTAGGATATATAATCAATCTCCTGAAATTTTTTTAACAGAATTATTGCATAAAGTAAGAAATATCGATGATCTTTCTTTTCTTATGATGAAGATTTAACCCCTCGGGAGCTAATGTGTACATAGTAAATTCATGGTCTATATGTGTTTCATGTCTAATAAATCACAAATGGTAGGATAAGAGCAAGACTATAGATACATACCAGTTATGCCCGCCTACCGTGAAACGACGAGATTGGTATTTGTCATTCTTAAGATATGTGAGATTCTCAATCTTGACGGAATATGAAGGAGGATGTTCCGTTAAGCTGTTCACAATCGTAGAAGTTGGATTTGAGCATGTTGTTTCACCGTCTAGACCGTTGTTGCATTCGAAATTGTGTTACCCATTCTTCATCAACCTTATTAGAAAGCATAAAGAATGTTGCTAGATAGAGATATATATAGAGAATACACAAAATCTCTTATGATATCGTTTTCCAACTTTTTAATGTGATTCAATCGAAGATTCATCTTTATCGCTTTGTGATATCTTCGTTTATATTTTTATTTTGTTTGTTTTTAATTCCTCTACTTCGTTTTTTTTTTTAACGTCTGATATTGATAATAACCAAAAAAGTTTGAAACAAGGAAAAACAGAGACAATGTAAACAGAGATAGGGAACCCAGAAAAACAGATTTATCATCTCTACTTTTTTTTTTAATCAAAAATAATAAAATCTTATCATATCTAACTAAAAATCTACTGCCAAGATTTTGGTAACTAATTTTAACCATATGATCAGATGTTTAATAAAATTAGGGAGAGTCAACTTAATTTCATATCTTGTTGATCCAATACCATAGTTATTGTGTTTATGCGTGTGATCTTTCATCTTCATTCTTCAATTGCTTGGAGCGTGTGATCAATGTATTCAAAGAACCCCAAACGATAGTAACCGGCGAAGACCACAACCAAATAAACAGTGTAGTTATCTATCCAAGTTACGTTGGGGTTCTTGCTAGCTTTCATGTTTTGAATATTAAGACAGTTCATTGTTTTGCTCCTTTGTCTAACAGTTCTTAATCTTCAACCAAACAGCAAACCTACTTCGACTTGAATTTCTCGCCGAGTTTCCCGACTCTGTCCTTCAACTCTTCTACAGTCTCCTTAGCCTTCACTATAGAGATATTTCTGATCTCATCAACCCTCAAGCTTGTTTGTCTGCACACTTCCTCTACTTTAGACTTGGTTTTCATTTTCAGGTCTTTGGCTTTGTTCTCCATGCCATGAACTTGTTGTTTCAAGGCTGATATCAGAAGGCTTATCTTCTCTATGATTAAGTTGATTACTTCTCTGCATTTCTCTCCTACATCTTTCGTCATCTTCTTGAGCTTCGCAATCAGATTTCCAGCTCTTTTCATGGTTCCTTCTACAGGATTTTGCTTTCTTGCGATCAGCCAAGTAGATTCGGTCGTTGTCTGTTCATGGAGATCACTGTCAACAATCACTTTTAGGCCATACTTCTCCCAACGTCCTCTAGCTTCTTCTAGCACTTTTGCTTGTTCTCTTGCCCTTCTCGCTTCATCCTTAGCCCAATCCCTTTAAAAACAAAATTCAAAACCGTAAATGACCTGAAGGACCTAAACTCTCTTACGTTTGATTTGTCACATTTCTCAATATTAAAGCTTTGAGTTTCACTAATCAGTGTAAAGAGGCTACGTTATTAAACAATTAAGAAATCTTTTGCTTCTATCACACTCCGTAAGATCTATTCATGCTCATTTGATTTTGTTTGGCAAAGAAAAAAGAAAATTACCTGGCTATGGATAAAGCGTTCCTTTCCACTTCCAGCTCATTTTGCAACCGGAGTATCTCTTGGTTCTCATCCTCCACTTGCTTTTGAAGTCTATCAAACCTCTCTTTCTCATACGACATCTCTGCCTTGTTACTCGCAAGGCTTTGAAGTTGTTCCTCAAGCTCATTTCGTATCCTTGCAAGAGCCTCCATTTCTGTTTCAATCGATGTGCGTTCTCTCTCCAATGCAAAAGTCTCCTCTTCTTTTTCAACTCTAAGTCTCGCTAGCTCCGACTTTGCTTCTTCAGCCAATTTCTCCACTGCATCTACTATTTCTTTTTCTCTTAAAAACTCTTTCTCAAAGCTAGCATTAATATCCTTCTCGACCTGAGTAACCAGCGCGTTATGTGCAGAAACCACATTTTCAGCCATAGCCTCTGCTTCGATACGAGCTAGCTCCTCACCAACTACTTCAAAAGCATCACCAATTGCAAGAGACACAGCTGTTTGGGCTTTTGTAACTGCTTTAGCAGGCTGAAACAATCTGGTACGCCCTAGAGGGAAACAGGACTTTTAAAAACAAAACTTGGTTGTAAAACTCTGATGATATGATTACTTAAGAAGCAAGAATCTAACTCACCAAAAGCAAGTGCTGTTATTCCGTGTTCTCCAGCAGATAAGTCAGCTATAAGGGCAGGCCATGCTTCTGGGTTTATTCTATCAATGTCAAGAAAACCAGAAAGTTGGTACAACTTCTGCAAAAGGAAAAGCGAGTTGTGTAAGATTTAAGACGCTCTAATAACTAAATGTGGCAAAGGAGAAAGAAAGGAATAGACAAATAACCTTGCTATCAGCTTCTGGGAGCTGTCGAAATTCCAAAGCCATCTTCCAGCTCAATAAATCCTGACGTGTTAGAGGACTGTAGAGAAAAAAAAAAAGAGATGAGAAGAGTGGATATCACATAGCAATAGCTAGTTTTTCTATAGCGTATATGGCTAGGCGAAAATAAATAGCACGTCTACCTTTCTGGGGAGAACGTAAACCGACTGCTCTCAGAACAAGGCATGTTGTGGTTAGAGAGTTTGCTTGAGATAAGCCCTGCCTCTGCCAAACCTATACTATCCAATGAAAAATGAAGAAAACAGATTAAACATAACTTCACTGATTCAGACTTCTGAGTGGATGTTAAAAAAATTCGATGATCACCTTGAATGAATGGAAAATCAGGATCTTCAGGTGTAATATCTTCAAATGCAAGTTCAGTAACATTCTCTATGTACATGGCAGGATATACTTTTGATGCTGAGTTCCTGTAACCGATGAAGGTATTTTCACGTTGTAAGGCAGTGAAATACTTCACAATGTTTCAAGAGTAGGAGAGAAGTTTTTTGGTAATTACCTCGATAGAGTATTGCTTGCAGAAACCACCCAACGAGCGAATTCACGGCGTGTACACAAATCGTAAGGCAGAGCATCAGATTCAATAACCTGAAAATTGAAGAGGTTAGCAACCAGTTCTTAACACATCATAAAATTGTTGCATTGTCAGATAGTTCAAATAATCGGAAAGATAAAAGCAGTACCTTTAAAGCTTGTAAAGCTGAAAATATTTGACTTTGAACAGGGTCCACAACCGTTGGAAATATAGGTTCTACAGGATTTACTTGTGGAACTGTGGAAGGAGCAGGTATTCCTGTATAACTACGAGTTTTCTGCTTTTCGTATGGGATTAGAGAGGTATGTGTATCTACTCCATCCAACTCCTTCGATAATGTGTATCTCTCAGCTGAACTTTCTGATGCTTTGTTCCCCTCATCATTTACTTTGCTTGTAGAGGCGGATTTCGACACCAAATCTTTGTCATCTAGAGATAAAACTGGAGAATCTAAACTAACATCCAGAAAAGGGAACGCTTGTTAAACTGGCAAGTACATTCAGAGGTAAGATAATGAAGAAACTGAGATACAAAATTGGTTGGTTTAAAGATACAAAATTTCAAGCCAGCTGAGTTGTATATGCAATAACCTATGTTCTTGTTCTTGTCGCCACTATTGGTTATAAGATCTATCAAACTAGGTATCTCGAATGTCTAAAGAGGAAACGACGTCCATACCTCTATAGCTTTCCTGCTTATCTTGATCCTTGACAATATTTCCTTCATTATCACCCGTGCTGATTTGATCACTTGAACTTTTAGTAACCGTGGTCACCATCACTTCTACTTTTGGTCCTACCATTCACCAAAATTTGATAACTTCAGTTATTAAATCAACAACTTTTGATGGTTAATTACACTAAATGAAGATTGAAACACATACTTGAAACATTGCGTTTGAAAGATAAAGCTGCGTAAGTTAGCCCAACGAAGAGAACCATTCCAGCTACTCCAGATAACAATGTTCCTGAAAAATCAAATTCCTTCTACAAATTCATCAAAACCCAAACCATGAATAATTTGGAAAAATATGTACAAAATTGCAGAAACTATAACCTAATTTACCAAGTAAAAAGCATCACTTCTAATCAAAATTTCGTACCTTTAAACCAATCACCACCGCGAGAATCGACAGTATTCTCATCGTCTCCCGAATCAGCCCACCCACGAAAACGATCCGACCCATTACTCTCACCAAAATCGCGACCCAATTCTGCGTTCTGAGCAACGCATGACATCCGGAAACGACGACTGAGCTTTGTCATCTTTGCTCTCGCCGGAGCTTTGAAGCTACCGTGATTTAGGGCAATTCTGAGCTGGAGAGAGCTTGGTGTCCATGTCGCCATTGTAGACGCCATAATTCAGCAACGTTTCGGAAAATCGCATGAAACTGATTTTTCCATTTACACATTTCTTTGGTCTGTTGCTTCATAGACGAGACAAGACAAAAGATACGAATGTTTCGTATAATTACGAAAAGGCCCTTTTATTATCTACTACTTTCATCTTTTACCCACCTTTAATTTATTTATCAGGTTTATCCAATCCATCTTTTATTAATTGATATATGTATTTGAGAATCTTTATGCTAACAAATTAACAATAGAACCAAGAAATATAATTTATCATTTTATGTTCCATTTTAGTAGACATCATGGTAAAAATAAAAAAACAATTAAAGAACAATTCCTCAAAATATTGCACCTTCAAGTTTTGTTGCAAGAAATATCACTATTAGTTAATATTTCAAAAATACCACAAAAAGTTTTTAGGTGATTAGGATTTAATTTTGAATGTTGAAAGTTAAATTCTAGTATTTTGGTATTTTTCGAAAACCAAAACTTAAATGTGGTAATTTTGAAAATTGTCTAATATTAAAATATCAAAGTATAGCAATTTTAGCCAACAAAATTGGAAGTAGTAGCAAGATAGATGAATTAGACAGAGTGAAGACAAAAAAAGTTTGACGTAGACATAATGGAATATGAGTTCGTTACTTTTGCCCAGAAAAGAAAAAAAGAGTTCGTTGCTAAAGTAACAAACAAAGTTCATTTCTCACCAAGAAATTGAATATGAATTGGAACATCGATAGCAAATACAAAACTGCACCATTTAGTAATGGCGAACATGGTCACAAATCATGAACTTATTAAGATCCTAATTAGAAGAAGTAAGAGATAAAATCGAAGAACAGCTACAACAATCATAATCTGTTCATAACAACCAAACTCTAAGAAAAAATTACCCACAATTAAGAGAGAAATCAAAGTAAAATCTACAAAGAACGACAATCCAGATATATTCTAAACAACAAACCTTCCAGAAGATTACTTGCAGCTTGAACAAATAATAGCAAATAACCAAAAAAACGCCTGAACATACAGAGAATGTTTTAGAATAAGTTGCAAAAACTGATTCTATGACAACATATATTCAAAAAATGGTGTCATTTTACCGACAACATATGTTTTCTTTCTTTAATTTCAAGAATCGAGGAAGCAGAATCAAGAAGATATAAAAAAAAACTCAGATCAGACACGATTGTTAGCCATTTCGTCATAGAATCAAAGAAAACATTAGAGCATCACTATAACACACAGAAAACAAGTAAACGTAATAAAAGGCTAATAACTTTGTGTGTATTTTTAGTAGAAACTGTGAAAAAGAAATGGACACAAAATACAGTAGAGGAAAAAAAACAATAACCCAATGAAATAAACAGACTATATACAAATGAACATTCAAAACTAGTAATGTGTGAAATGATCTATCAAACATATTCTATATATCATAAGAACAATAAACAAAGAAAATGAAAAATTGAAGAAAAGTAGACAAGATATCAGGGAGCATATCAACAATCACCAAAAGAAACGAAAGTTTAAACATCTTTAAGTATTACAATAAGGAAAGTATGAAAAGGATAGAGCTTCAAACCTGTCAAGCTGGGTTTACTAGAATCTCAAACGATGGGTCGATGGCTCTGGCTACGCTTTCAACTCCATGCTATCGACCTGACAGTTCCTGCAGCCAAGACTTTCAAATTATAATGGTCCTACGATGAAAATGACTTCAAAGAAACATGATTTCTCAGGATTAGCTTTCTCCTTTGCTTCTTTCTTAGCCTTAGCTTTGGCTTTAGCTGAGGTTGAGAGAACGTCTGTAGGAAGTTTGATAGCAGTTTAAACTACGACCTGAAAGCTGTTGATGAGAAGGCAAAGGTAATTAAATAGATAAGTAGGTACGACAACCAAAACTGGCTGAAGACTGCAAGGCTGATCAGCAGTGTTTTTGTCATGTTTGGTATTTGAGAAAGTTTAAGCACTTAGGTACCAGAAGACTGCGGAAGATTGTTCCCCATCTTCACACAAAATAAAGCTTCCTTCCCAATTTACGGCTTAATCTGAAGAGCAAAACATCCCAACGTCGAGCTCAATTCTCGCTTTCAGAACAAAAATTCAAACTCTACGAACAGAGGATGGAGATAGTAAAGGCAAAACACTAACTAGTAGAGTACTAAAGATGAAAAGCACATACCAGGTCCGATGAGGAATCAGACATTCTTGTCCTCTGTGTTTGATCAACGGATGTCGAATGAACTCTATTATTGTCATTTTTCCCAGCTAAATCTGCATTCACAAGACTTACCTCAAGATCATCCTCTACACCAAATGAGTTTTGTCTCTGTTCAAACCCTGCAGAATTATTAAGTTTTACACAATTAAAAGCCATCAGATTTAGTATTTAAAACCGACTTTATAATGATTTTCAAGATATTGTAAATTTCTCTATATATTCTTTTAACTCTTCTGATAAAACTAACCTGCAGAAACTGGTTTTGAGAATAAGGCTTATTTCTTGTCTGCTGGAAACAGCTCTTTCTTCCTGCCTTTTGATTGACGTTCATCACTTTTGATATCAATACCACCTGCTATATGAGCTGATTGAGATCGTGAACGGCGATAAGGAAACATGATGATTGCGCCACATTGTAGGATTTGAAACCATAGCTCTCCTCTTCTCACTGCATGGAATTGCCATCAGTCATGATGTTCCCGGGCCTATCAGCCTGGTTTTGAGAATCATCAGAGTTGGTACTTCGATGTTGACTAATGTTTGTGCATTGGTATTCATGTTCTTGGTGATCAGGTCTGGCCTTCTTTGCGGTAGTGAAATATATTTGTAGCATGCTTCACTGAAAAGAGAAATATGTTCTGATCAGATTCCAAACATAGTTGCAAAGAAAATGAAACACCAAGAAAAAAACTTGCTTACTCCAAATGTTGGGGATCAGAAACAGTTTGAGGGTCAAAAATATTAGCTGGCGCTTGAGCAATCGCTGTGGTTAAGTCCTTTTTAATTGCCTCAAGTCATAAATCTATAGCTCTTAAGAACTTCTTCCTGTACATAGACAAAGAGAAGCAATCTGATATGATGTAAAAGTAGAGACGTATACTTACTTTGTTGCATCTGCTACGCCTCCATTGTCTGAAACAGTAAAGGAGAAAAAAATAGTATCAAGTTTGGTTACTTGTAAGCTTTGAAATTGATCAAGCTAATGAGAAATGAAACACACCTTGAGAATATAATGTCCGAGCTGCTTCCAACTGTGAGATTTCCAAATGAATTGTATTGACTTTTGTCTACACTTCTGGACTATTAACATATCGAACAAATCTGGAAAAAAAAAAATAAATAACAAAGGTCAAAAGATTGTTAAGCTAACCAAAATTACTGTGTAAGATGGAAAAGAAAAATGTTCTTTGAGACCTCTCGAGTGTTCTTCTTGTGAGCCAAGATTAGCCATTTTCGGTTTTTTTCTACTTCCAGTCTAACAGAGGATTGGTCTCTCTTTGAAGCTTGTGATTCAAGAACTCTCAAATGATTCACGAATGGTTCTATCAATCCTGAAGCCAAGCCAGTTTCTCTCTTTCTTCATTACTCGATACAAACAGTTCACATCTGTAACACAGATATTAAACTGAGACCAAACCTACAAGCCATGATCAATTGCTACAAAACATTTCACTAAAAGAACAAGATTTACTCACCGAGAATGTTTTGGCGAAAGCTCAAACACTGCATAGTCAAGAACAGTATCAGCCTTCATTTATCGCACAAAAGCCTCTTTCTTAGACCAAAAGGTGAATCGTCAATAAGATTATCAAATGAAACCTGAGGAAACAAAAGAATATCCCAGAAAACAGAATACCCAAAATTTCTGAATCAGATGATAAACTAATCAAAAGCAAGAAACTTGAGCTAATACAGAAGAAAAAGGTTGACTAACTTACGACATAACCGATCCAGCATTGAACAGAACTTGATTTCTTCCGATCACTCTCCAAACTTTAGTAAACGGTTAGCTTTCTTCCTTGCTTCTTTCTTAGCCTTAGCTTTGGCTTTTAACTGAGGCTGAGAGAACATCGGTAGGAATTTTGATAGCGGTTTACACTAAGACCTGAAAGCTGTTGGTGAGAAGGCAAAGCTAATGATATAGATAAGTGGATACGACTACCAAAACTGGCTGAAGACTGCAAGGCTGATCAGCTATATTTTTTCATATTTTTTCTTTGAGAGCAGTCTTCATCCCTACTACCGATATCGAGGAGAATCACTCCCATCTTGCTCATTGTATCATCAAGCTTGTCGAGTAGGATCTTCTTAAGTTTGCACCTACAAAACATACATAAAATCTCAGTCTACCAAGATGTTCTCTGCCTCGAAATGCTGGAGGAAACATGTTTATACTAACCTAAATGCTCCAACACGAGAATCGCTTGCTTCACTAATTTAGATCATCACCATGGCTATTGCAATCAAAGCAAGTGCCTACACAAGAAGTACCTACTGGCTGAAGACTGCAAGGCTGTGATCAGCAGTGATTTTGTTATGTTTGGTCTTTGAGAGCTGTCTAAGAGTAACGTTCATACCACCGACATCGAGGATACCAGATGCCAGAATCACTCCTATCTTGCTCACTGTATCTTCAACCTTGTCGAGTATGATCTTCTCAATTTTGCACCTACAACACATACATAAAATCTCAGTTTACCAAGATGTTCTCTGCTTCGCAATTCTGGAGAAAACAAATTTATACTAACCTAAATGCTCTAACACGAGAATTGGTTGCTTCACTGATTTGGATCATCACCATGGCTATTGCAATCAAAGCACCTTGACGAGGACCAACAAGGATATCGCTTCGCTAAAGCAAGTACCTGCCACACCATAAATAACATGAGGATTGTGTGAATTAGAAGGCAAAGACACAATATACAGATTCTACAGTTAGAAAAATAACATAATCCATTAGTGGGGGTATACGAACCACAAAAGTTTTGGAGCTCTAAAGAAATAGAAGTCAGTGGTCACAAGTAAGGGAGCATCAGAAACTGACCTGCTCTGGATCAGTGAGCGGGCCAAAACAACAGTTCTTCCATTATATATCTCTTTATCCATTGTCCCGAGAGCTGAAAAGTGAAAGCTCTGTGTTTAATGACTAGTATCCATATTATAGCAATATAAATTAATTCTCTAAACAAGGAGGCTGCCATGGGAATTGAAAGAGACTATATTGAGTAAGATATCAACTAATCACCTCAACATTGGTATTACGTAGGCGATTGTTTCAGCATGCATAATGGAATAGCAACTCGACAGGCTGTTTGATTGTCTTCAGTATCAGCAGGTCCGATCTACAGAAATTATGATATCAACAATGAAACATATGATTACTTCCTGATATAAATGGATCTAAAAGAAAAAATATCTCATTTCAAGATATCAAAACTGTAAAAGTAACTTACTTGTTATGGCTGCAAAGAATCTGAAGTGTTAACCTCGTAGCATGTGTAACGTCCACTGGAATTCCATTCGTCATCTGAACATCCTCCGAAATATTCTCGCTCGAAGCAGTAGTAGTGTCAAGGGCCTGACTACTTCTACAGGACATGTTTTGGGAACTGGAAGATGATCTCTAACACTTGATAGAATGGCCCGGTGCTCTTCTCTACAAGATCAAATGCACTTTGCAGTTCCAATAATGCATCATTCTTGCTCGCTGAGGAATAAGATTTTCAGTTAGAGCTTACGTGAGATTACAGACATGGTCCTTAGGTGCAACATAGAGACTATATTTTAGCCTGATGAAACAGAACTATAATGTTCTAACCAATTACTAGTGTCAAGAAACATCTACTTTCTATTTACGTGTAAGACCATCAGTCCCACCTCATGACTATACTCTCTGTGGTTAACAAAAAGAATGAGAAACATTGATGTAATATGATAGAATTCCTCGAACATTACCACTCTTTGTGATTGCTTCCTCCAACTTATACAATCTCCGTCATCTTTCGAAATACCCATGGCCAGCTAATACTTCTCCTCACTGATGCATCTGCATACAGAAAATCATGTAAGAACAACTGAGGCACTATAAAGAAATGAGCATTAATTCATGGACATACCATACTTTTCAAGCATTCTATCAACAATGGCTTCAAGCCTGGGATCATGATTCATCTGACTCAAATTCTTTTGATCTGAAACTGGCATATCTATCTGTTGCTTCGGCTGAAAACAAAACAAAAGCATCTAATGCGTAAAGATTCATTCTAGCAGTAATCAATACTCAAATAGTTGATCAAAACTTCTACGTGCTCATCAATTAATCTAGAGTCATAACAATCAGTGATAAGAAAAAATTTAATTACCATCTTTAACTAACATACACAAAGAAACACTGAGTTGTTCAACAATATATTGATGATGTATAGGAAAACTCACGCACAAATCGAATCAATTTAAGTAGAAAGGGGAACAGCAACAACAACAACAAAACCAGATAACAATTTTTATCCACACCAAAATATGTGGTTCCAGACAAGAATATTTCTGATAAGAATTGAACCAAGAACAGGAAAATGTAAAAAGGAACAAGAACATGTCATTTTGTGTATTGTTTCAGTAGACATCATCATGTCAAAGAAACAGACAAGAACCAAACAATCAACCAAAAGAGAAAATAACAGGCTACAATGCATAAAAGACAGACAGCCAAACCAAAACAATTTATGGTAAGAACTGAACCAAGAACAGGAAAATGAAACAAAAAAAAAGGAACAATAACTTGTCATTTTGTGTATTGTTTCAGTAGACATCATCAACAAGACAAAGTAAACTAGTTGAGCAACGTAAATACTCCACAAAGATCAAAATATTGAAAGGAGGGAACAACTAAACGAATCAGACAGTATGATGAAATATTGTTTACAACAAAAAATTTGCCTATGAACTAAAACAACTTGAACATAAATATAGTGAAACAATCAAAAGCTCATATAAAGACAACAAACCCAATCAAAAGTAATCAAAACTTAAACATAGATATAGTGAAACAATCAAAAGCTCATATAAAGACAACAAAACCAATCAAAAGTAATCAAAACTTAAACATAGATATAGTGAAACAATCAAAAGCTCATATAATCAAAGTGAAAAGTCCTCTCAAATGACTCTCTTGAGAGAACAGATCCAAATAAATGCGAAATTAACAAATGAAAATGTATAACCAACCAAATGCAATATAACAAAGTGTGGAAAGTGGAAATCTCCATCATCGACTAAAATTCCCAATCCATAATAAACAGAGGGAAGATAATATCACATCACATCAACATCAAAAAGTAAAGCAATGCGTATGAAACCAATATCACAAAGAAGGAATTAAAAAAAAAAACAAACAATCTGTGTATGAACAAGCAATATCAGAAAACAAGGAATTATTAAGAGTAAACAACGATCGTCCATAATCTTAAGAAATCACAGAATTGAAAGCAAAGTCATGAAAGAAAAATAAACAGGTAAGTAAAGAAAAAATTCACAATCGCAGAGAAGAGAATCCACATAAACTACAAATTTTCACACCATTTCTCATAACGGCGAACACAATCACAATCAAACCAAAAAAATCCACAAAGATCGATATAAGAAAGAAAAAGAATGGAATCGCAGAACTATAAATACCCTAGAAAACGAAATTATCACACCATTTTTTGTACCGACGAACCCAAATCACAATCAGAGATTTGATAAATTGACTGCAATTAGAAATAGGAAGATCGAAATCAAATAGGAGACGAGAACCACAATCTCGTTGTGGTTATAACAACGACGAAGAACAGAGAATCTGGTTCTTAAGAAAATTACTTGCAAATTAGAAGAAATCAGAGACAAAAATATTGAAGAGTAATCATAAAACTGCAAAAGCGATCTACTCCTAAGTCCTAACAATACAAAACCCTAACAAAATTCAAAATGCCGAAGAGGAAGGAAGAGAAAAGCTTATATAGATTCATCGCTTGAGTACAATGGACGACTAGGATCAAGTAGATTGTGATGCATATGGACGGTCGAGATTAAAAGTTCTAATCGACCGTTCAATCCAGCTTCTTCTCCTATTAAATTACTAATTTGCCCCTTATTAATTACCATCACTTTGAATTGTTTGTTATGAGATGGGTCCCATCAGATATTTGAATATCTATCACATGCGCTCGTTTATATTTTAATTTGAATTTGTTAAAAAGCATACAATAAGATTTCCTTTTTATTTTTAACTCTTTGACAAAATCCACAAAAATCTATTCAGATCAACACTGCTTCCAAGTTCCAACTACTGAAAGATTCGGCAAATTAATAAAAAGCTTCAACAAAAAATCATAAATAACCATGGGGTCTATAATAATGTGAGGATTAAAACAACTGTTTTAACGAAACAAGCTATAGAACATGAAATAATTTAGCGCACACACAATCTTTGGGTGTGACTGGTTATACATTATAGAAAAAAAATAAAAGATAAACAAATAATTCTTCTGTATTCTACTTAAAAATAAACCAATCAAGTAGAAAAGAGAAAAATTAATTTTCTTCTCAGTTCTTCCAAAAAGTGACGTAAAATGAAGAAACTTTTCAATTATAAAATACATGGTATACAAAATTCCTCCAGTTTGTACTTTTATTTTCTTCTGATTATTTTCTTCTTTTTTCTTCTAATATTTACCAGTCATAGCCTTTATCTCAAAATCGTATATTGCATTAATCAGTGAAATTACAAAGAAATAAAAGATGAGGTGTCCGTTATCCGGAAAAACAAGACACGTGTACAAATATACTAAAAGTCGAGGACTTAAATAGTTACATTTTGATCTGCCAGCCAAAATAAAAGAAAAAATAAATTGATCCTAATTAAACTTGAAAATAAAGACTTTATATTTGTGCGTTAATGCAATCTAAAGTGGTCGTATAATTAGAGGCAAACCGTAACCCGGTCTAAGAGAAAGCATGTACGTCGGAGAATGGCGATAACCGGGTGAAACCGAGATTTCAAACCGGGACAAAACCAATGACAAGACAATCTTGTACTCCATGGTGGTCAAATTCCGACCGATACACATCCTCCCTCCGAACCCAAACGGCATATAACCCATTTTATTCTTACAACCACCGTGTAAATTGCCGTCGAATCTTTCCGGTTTAAACTCGTTAACGTCGTCTCCCCACAACTCAGCGTCGTGGTGCATTGCCACCACATCAATCCAAATGTTTGTTCCGTTAGGAATCACCCGACCGTTCACTTCAATGTCTTTTCGGGCTTGACGTTGTGCGTTAGGCGCTGGTGGATATAGCCGGAGAACCTCGTTCATTACCCAACTCATCTGCATAAAATGATCGGAAGTTTTATTCATTAGTATCAAAATTTTGAAGAGGTTATGTGATTTTAACTAACTAAAGATGCGATTTCGTTATCATTAATGACACGCGTGTCACACGTTTTAGTCATTGGATAAAAAAAACAGAGAGAATATTCATTATGAGAAGATATTGCTACGTGGCATTAGATTTTTCAGTTTGAAGATTACGTGGCACATCAGTCATTGGTCAGCGCAGTCGTTGACGCGCCTCTATGCTTTGATCAATGTACGTTTTGTACATTTTGACTTCTTTGTGACCACTGACTTTGACCATAGTGATCAGATGTATATTAATTAGGTTTAGATTATACTTAAGGTATTTTTTTTGTTTACTTTAATATTATGAAATCTTATGTTATTAAGCTACATTAGCTACATCTTTTACGTGCATTAAATTCGTGTATTTATCAAGAAAATGTGAACATGTCAAATTGTACACTACTATTTTGTGAACGCGTCCAAATATAATGAATGCACGCATATAATTAAGCACGTGGATTGTTGTGTACTGTGTTTGGTAACGTACCTTTTTTAGACCGGCAAGTTTGTTATACTCAATCTTGGAATCTCCGATGACTTGTCTAATCTCTTGCCTGAGCGTGTCTTGCCACTCGGGATGGATTGCCAGAAGCATGAACGTCCACGTTAGTGCTAAAGCCGTTGTCTCGTGGCCAGCGAAGAAGAATGTTTTGCATTCGTCCACAAGCTCTTTCGCCGTAAAATTCCCTTTCTGATCGGCCTTAAGCAACATTCCGAGAAGATCGTGGCCTTGGTCATCTCCTTCAGCCAAAGATATCTTCCGTTTGTTTATGAACGACAAAAGGAGACTATCTATCTCTTGACCTAGCTCCTTCGCTTTAACGGTTTGCTTGTAACTCAAAATGTTGCTGAACGGTACGCCTACATAGCGATTTGAGTTGAAGAGAGCGAATTGCACGGCTCGTAGGTTTTTGAGGACTTGAGTGCCGTTTTCTCCGGTGACTCCGAAGCTTGTCTTGGCTATTATCTCACCAGCTGTTCCTATAACCTCGCTCTCCATGTCGAATTCGGGATTACCCGAGTTTATTTGTATGTCCCATCGGTCCAACATGTTGGAGACTGATTCCACCATCATATTTGTCATAACCTATTATTTAAGACGATCAATTAAAAGTAATGAGAAAAAAAGGAAATATTCTAGTATGAAGCTTTGATTTGAATGAGTCTAATATATGACTCTATCTAGTCTTTTCAACACCATAAGACCTTTAAATTTCTATGTCATGAAAAATGGTGGCTCATGCTTTTGGGGAAGGGCTACAAAGTCAAATTGTTGAACTAGATTAGTCACCCTATTGAATTTCTATAACTTGGACTCTTGCCTATGTAAACGATTTGAAAAAGAGTTTAATTACTTTAAGTATATGTTTATACCTTAAGATTAATAGGGGCAAATGCAGGGGTGATGATGTGGCGATGTCGTGTCCAATCATCCCCTTCGACCATAACCAAACCGGTACCAAACATTGGCTCTCTGTCTTTCTTAAAAACATTTGGTTTTCCCCAACTCTTTCCCAATACACCTTTCGACATAACACTCAAGAATTCAGGATCCGCCACGTAAACGAATGGCTCTATTCCTAGCCAGTACACAAATACTTTCCCTGCATCAATAACACGTAACCAATAATCTACGTTTAATATTTAGATATAGTAATCCAAATGTTGCGAGCTAAAAAATTTATATGGTCTAAATGTCCGGAACATAAACAAGAGGATGCAGATTTATTAGTACCGTATTCTTGTTGCCACCGAGCGAAATGTGGTAGTGCAATGGAGTGTATGTCATGGTTGATAATGGTGGAAGATTTGCTATTATCCACCATAACCGAGGCCATCTTCAGCTTCTTCATGTCATTAAGGTTTCCTAAAGGAAAACTAGGAGCTGGACCGAAAAATCCATTTTCTCTAAGCTTCTTTTGAGCTCGAACCGGCAAAATCCAACAACGCACAAAGAGCTTCAAGAACATGAGGCAAAGAACTACGACGAAAACTTTGAAGACTATGTACCAAACTCGAGACATCTCAAGAAACTCCATCCCAATATATCTCTCCAAATTTGTATATAAGAACAAAAAAATATATGTGTGTATTTTTTACTATTGTGGAGAATTGTATATGAGGAAGTGGTTTTGGTGCAATATTGGTTGTTGTATTCAAAATGTTTGCAGGTGAAATGTGGGAATGAACCAAATGAGGTATTTATAGATGTTTTCTAGGTTCGGGTGTCGAAGAATGTCAGACTTTGACCAGTGAAATTCTCGTCTCTCTATTATTCTATTGTATTATCGTATTTTATTTGCGTTTATGTTGCTACATAACATATAACGTTTCTTTACCATTTTCTGGTCAAACATTATCGGCATTTAGGCTTCTTGTCTTTTTCCATTTCTCTATAGTGTCTTGTACAGTTTGTAACTCCGGCTGCTTTTTTGAATTAATTGAAAGTGATGTGAATGTAAGGATGCTGTCTTTTAATCCTTATTGGCAAAAAGGTTAAACATTATATTTTTTTTGTCAACTGGAAAAATTAATTGTTTACTCTTCTTTCTACCGGATAAAGTACTTAAGGTTATATAACTAGTAACTACGTTTTAAACTAAAACACTAATTAGCTAATTACACGTTTTTGTCCTTTTAGTGTCCCCCCCCCCTCCTCTTCAATTTTGTGATTTATGTTTGAGATGTATTTCCTTAATCACACACCTTACTTTTTTAATCAAATGTTTTAGTTTTTGAACTAACTCAAATTAGATTCGATAAATATCTTTATTAAAATTTAGGAAGTCTGACATAATGTAATTCCAACACAAACTTCTCCGTTTTACAAAAATGTGTGACGTGTAAGTATGTAAAAGTAAAATAGAACCTAATTTATTTGATAAACTAAAAATAAAAATTAAGATTTACAAGGTCGGTTAGTGAAAAAGTAGAATCTTTCGGTTTCTAGTTCTAAGCAGAATATATAAAAGTTACGCGTTAAATCACAATCAAGTAAAATTGTACATGTGAAATGCTCTACTTTTGGACCCAATATGTGTAATCGATCACTGTCACTACCTAACTGCAATAGTGAGGATGAATCTTAAATGCTCTAACAGTTCAATGTGAAACCCTTAGGCTTCAATCGTTTAGCCCAAAATAGATCAAACCCACACATCTATTCACAATTTATTATTTAAACCACATAACATTATAATATCTGGCATGGACCACGTACTGGATCTCTTTATCAACAGGACACAAGCCTCGTCTTTTGTCCCTTTTCCATTTTTTTTTTGGAGTTTTAGAGGACACATGTGCGTTATATAATAATATGGGGTTAGTTATGGTATATATTAATATATTGTAATTCAGATATCATAATATAAGTTCAAGTAAAAGAGCTTAATGAGCAAAATAGTCAAAGTTTCGCGTATGAATCATTTTCTAATCACACGCGTAGAGCTGCTACGACTTGTATACTAAGAACACAAGATCTGACAAATACGAAATAAGAACACAAGATCTGACAAATACGATAAAAGGTCCTCTTTAAACTGCCGTTTCTGGTCGTAACAAACAACTTTTTTAGTTTTTGGCCCGTAGATGAAAATTCCATTTGTTCATCTACGGTTAGAGTCTAATATTCGTATTAATACCATGCATGTAAAACTCACACAAATAGCACAAGAAGTGGTGAAACACTATAGTATTAGTATCATCAATCATTTGAGAGCTTCGACTGTTCTAAACATAACATATGCGTCTACTGTCTACATGAGAAATAAATTTATATTTTTGAAATTTAATTAATAGGTAATTTTTTTTTAAAAATGCTTAATATTATTGGGAGTTCATTTGAAAAATTAATATATACACACTAAATATAAACGTAAATACAAACAATGAGACGATCATAAGAAACCTAATTAGAAGATTGTTAATATCTTTAATTTATATTACATATGTCAAGTTTCTTAACCCAAAGCAATATATCATACTTAGTTTTGTGTGGGAAATTTGAGTTTTTTTCTAGTAATTTCTATTTATTTATGCAATTAGTCAACGAGATCTAAAATCATAGCATAACACTATGGTCGAACTGATATAGTTGTAGAGGTAATATAGAGAAGTAAGAGGAAGAAAAGAGACTTGATGTTGATAACAACGACATGGCTCATGTGCTATGTCACGTCTATAGAGGGAGTGTGCATGGCATGCAGGACCGAAACGACCACGTCTCACCATATTAATGTGTTCAATGTGTGGTTGGTTCTGTCTCAGACATCATTCATCTTATGAGTATTTCTCTATGGGCACTGGATTGGTGACCTCAGAATCTCAGAATTTTAATGGAAGAAAGATATGTACTCGCTAAGGTTTTCTATGAGGCAAGTTGATCAGACCACATTTTCTAGAGTTCTTTATGTGTGTTTAGGTGTTGTAGCCTACCACGTTCCTAGCGTATAGGAGGTTTGTTTGGCCCCTTTTCAATATCCTTACCAAGAACAAAACTCTTTTTTTTTTTTTTGCATGAAAAGTATTAATTTATCCATTAAATAATATTTTTGTAAAAAACAAAATATTAATTTTTAGATGTTTTAGTTTTCAATATTGTTAATGCACGAAATCACACAAGTACGAAAATGGGGATCTCTAGGGAAGTGAGAAGAATATTTCTATTAATAACGAGCCTGAAATTTAGGCAGGTCGGTTGGACTTCAAAGGATGGTCTCTTCGTAAAATAATTTGAGGTAGGACGGATCGGTTGTGGTAAAAGATACGCTTGATGAATGAAGACAAGCTTGATGCTTGAGAACGAGCCGAGGAGCTCGTAGGAGAGCTGACGGCTGTGCCTCCTTATGCTCTGATTGTCTTGATAGCTTCACCTTGTAAACAAGGCTGCCTAAGTACCTTTTGAAGGGATCAAGCCGTTCGTAGTTCATGTTATTGAAGAACCGAGGAGCTCTGGGACGAGCTGGGGAGCTCGTAGGTGATCCGAGGATCCGAGACGAGCGGAGGAGCTCTAGGACGAGTTGAGGAGCTCTGGGACGAGCTGAGGAGCTCTGGGACGAGCTGAGGAGCTCTGGGACGAGCTGAGGAGCTCTGGGACTAGCTGAGGAGCTCATAGGTGATCTGAGGAGTTCCAGGACGAGTGGAGGAGCTCCTACAAGAGCTGAGGAGCTTTGGGGTGAGCTGAGGAGCTCATAGGTGATCCGAGGCATTCCGGGATGGCGCTAAAGAGAGGGGCTCGTAGGTGATCCGAGGAGTTCCAGGACGAGTGGAGGAGCTCGTAGAAGAGTTGAGGAGCTCTGGGATGACCTGAGGAGCTCGTAGGTGATCCGAGGAGTTCCAGGACGAGCGGAGGAGTTCGTAGAAGAACTGAGGAGCTCGTAGGTGATACGAGGAGTTCCAGGACGAGCGGAGGAGCTCGTAGAAGAGCTGAGGAGCTCTGGGACGAGCTAAGGAGCTCGTAGATGATCCGAGGAGTTCCGGGACGAGCGGAGGAGCTCGTAGAAGAGATGAGGAGTTCTGAGCTTCATGTGTTCTCATGCGTTCCTGCGTGGATTGGACATGCATGTGACATGACTTGCTATCCTGTATAGTGTACAGTGTAGGGCGTCATTCGAAGTGATTTGACGAATCTACCCTTTGACTTTATGGAGTCGGTTGGTCGTCCATAGCAGGCTTTATTCGAAGCGGGCCAGAGTGTTTTAGGCCTTCAATCCTTTAAGCTTATTCTTGGGCTGAATTTGGGCCTTGGGCTGAATTTGGGCCTTGGGCTGAATAGGCCAAATTCGACCCCTAACATATAATATACTAGATCTTGACCCGCACGTACGTGCGGGGTTTCATATTTCAAAAACATTTTTTACAAATTTTCATACAATATAGATTATTTTATTGTTTTTATGATGTATATTTTAGTATATTAGATCTAGATCCACACGTACGTGCAGATATATTTTTTTTAGAAATTGTTATATAGATTTTAAAAATATAAAATATTTTGTTGTGTTAGTGAACTTTGTAATAATATAGATATTATAAAGTTAGAGTAATGAACGAAATTTAGTAGCGTTAGTGCATAGTTATATTTTAAGATTCGGACCTACACGTATGTGTGAAATTGTATTTAATATAAAATTAAGATATTATTTAGTTGCAAAAGTTAAGTGATGTTACGTTTTTATTTTCTAAACTATTGAAAACATTTCTAACAGTTTGATTACATGTGTTAAATAGGATACATATTCGGTTTTAGTTTGGGTTATTTCATGTATATTAGCTAGGAGTAACTATTTTGGAACAGGAAACCTATCCCGTCTTGTATCTGTCATAAATTTTTTGTCCCATAACCCGTTTCGTATACGTGAAATAAAAATATTACGGTCCCGTATTTGTCATAAATTGTAACTAAAAACGTACGTAGAAGGTTATGTGTGTAAACAAATTTATTTTATATAGTGCTCATAACACAAACTCATACCAGTTGAGTATTAAGTTTGATTTTTAATTTATGTTTCTCTGTCATCCCGTCTCGTAATTCTTATTCTCATTTCATTCCATTAAAACCATGTTCCAAATTCTTGTTTGCTTACTTTAAAATACCATAAAATACATACTGTGAGTTTTGCGGATTAATATGTATGATGTTAAAGTTTCAAATATTTTAACAAATTTATTAATGTTTCTTTTCTTAGCTAAATTTTGCATATTAAATTTTGCATATTCTTCTTTTCATTGTTTAATCATAATTAGTTCAATTTTTGGACTAAAAATAAAAGTTTTAGATACATCAATAAAAGGGATATGCTATTGCTGCATAATTTGTGTTGAATACAAAATATATAATTAGTTTACATAATTTCGAAAACTGTGTGCAATATATTATGGATTTATTTAAGGAAGATCTGAGTTGAAAAGAAAAAAATAAAACACAAAATATTTCGAAATTAATATGTACAATCTATTGTTTAGATTTTTTCGAAAATTGCTCTAAACGAAAACCATAATGATAATTACTTAAAATTTATTATTATTTGAGTTTATTTCATAGTAAAAATAAATATTTGTTAATATTTAATATGGTTTTTTTAGAAATTATGAAATAAAATTTCGTTTTATATTTCAAAATTTGTAAAAATATTATAACAAAACTGAATATTAAAATAGTATTTAATTTTTTTACCAAATTTCAAATTCAATCTTAAAATCCTCCATTGATAAATCTTTTTAAATGATAATTTTTTTAATTTTGAATTAAAATGATATTATTTTTATTTTTATTTTTGATATAGAATAGTCTATTAGGATTGGTTTAGAAAAAATCTTAGTTGGATATCAAATCTTATTTTTTTAATTCTCATTGGTTATATTTAGAAATTAATTTCAAAATTTCGTCCATAATTAATAAGTGAGAGATAGTGAGTTTAATTTTTTGGAAACTAATAATTAATGTACTTAAAAGAATTTTACTATTTTTATTGAATTATATTAATTTTGTGATTACTATTATATCCTTAATGAATATATTTAAAAACACTAAA